TAGTAGGCATATCCCTCATCTCATCATGATCAACCAAAGACAACTGTGAAGTATCATGATCATTATCACGAATATTCACTTTACCGTCAACTTCATCATTTTCAAACTCTTTAATAACAGAAGTAGACAATTTTGGTTCCTCCTCGCAAATCATTAAAGGTTTTATAACTTCACTCTGACTAGTAATACCTTGTAAACTTGTAGGGTCAGAACTGCACTCTGAAGCAGCAACTCTATTCTGTGACACTCTATTCAACAATGGCTTACCAGTTGCAACTACAGACTTCTTGACCAAACCGTTATCGTCACACAATTCGGAGTCATGCCTGGAGTTTACATTTAGCTTATCACTGAACTTGCTCACTGGTTCACAGTTCACCTTTGTATGCACTTCTTGCAAACGTGTGAAACACAACCGTGTTTGTCTTGCATCTTGTAACTTATCTGTTGAGGATGTACTACGAAACCTGTTACACTCACTAGGTCTATATGCATTACTAGACATCATGGAGCCTTCTCGATATCCACCTCTCTGAGGCCTACTCGTCATCAATGATTGCATTTTGCTCTCAGACTGCTCTATTCTAGGGGTGAGATGTAATAGACTGGCGAACTTGCTCATAGATTGATTGACACTAGTATTTACCAGTTTCAGGATATCATCAAACTTTGGCTCGATACCCTCATCCTCCATACGGGAGCTTATCTTCACCCACTTCCTTTGCAGTCGAGTAGGTAGACGTCTTGCTATTACTTCTAGTATAAAACTCGAGTTGAGGTCACTCATGCGATTCATCGAAATCATTCCATTCTTGTAAATTAGCAAATTATCTAAAAACTCAGTGAGTGCCTGGGAGTCATCCTGTAATTGACCACCATTACCCTTAACAGCCTCGAATAATTTCCCTGCAATCATCGAAGGTCTTCCAAACCTTTGACGTAATATGCTCATAGCCTCGTAGTAGCCCTCTTTTGGCTTCATAAACTTACAGCACTGTATAGCTCTTGCAGCATCTCCAGTGCAATATCTCATCAAATACATTAACTTCAATTCATCATTTAATAAAAAACCACTCAACATGATCTCAAACTCCTTTACAAATTGTAAATAATCAGCCGGGTTTCCATCAAAACACCGTGGTTCAAATTTAGGGAGTTTGATGTTCCTATTATCCCTGAACGGCGAAACAGTAACATCAACCATGTCATGCTTAACATCAGACACATCGTTACAATTAACAGACAAGTCACCATGACTTACTTTCCTGTTTGCATCCAAGACACTCTGTCCCTTCTTTGACCCAGGCATTGTTGAACTTGACCCAATTCCAAAAAGTTCCAGATATTGCTTGTTCAAAGAGGACTTGACCGGCACCAGGAAAATGAACGGCGACTATCCAAACTTTCACCAACTGTTTGAATCCGCCAGATCTGTTTCTATCGTCAGAAACTGTCAATCACGTCTCATAAACCGTTAATGCCCAGCTCTCGCTACGCTCGGGCCCACGCTGTTCCTTGAAGATTTCAGAAACGCTTAGTTATAACGGACGAAAAAACCAAAACACCGATCTGCCGCTTGATATTTCTTTATTGTTACACCAACATATAAAAATAATAACGAACTAAGGTCTGAAAACAAATATTACAATAATAAATCATTGTATTACTTCTGACGATGTTTCACTCTTCTTTCTGAACAGCGACCGATGAGACGATGACTGTCGTATTGATGCCTCCGCGAAAATTGGGGAAGTTGATTTTAAGCAAACAACCAAGAATTGATCGTTCAATCTTCAACTACATTGACAATCACTGTATATGAAATGCAGGTGACAAGAGAATTCACATATTTTTACGAGTTCTCCCAGATTTATACTTTCAGGTTTCTGAGTTTGTTTGGAGACAGACCTACTGCTGCCAACACTGATAGCAGAGATTACCCATTGATATGCAAAATAAATAGGAGAGACCCTAGTACCGTGCCATGTAGTACTCTGCTTCGTACTGCTGTCCAAGAGGAGAGTCTGGAGTTGATCCTAACCCTCTGCCTCCGATCTCTGAGGAATTCTCTGAGCCAGTTCAGTAATCTGCCTTTGATATCAAGACTTTTCAACTTCATGAGTAGTCTTTTATGAGGTACTTTATCGAAGGCTTTGTTGAAGTCTATGAAGACGACGTCAACGGTTCTTCTGCTGTCCCCTGATTTGATCCAGCTTTCTCTTCCATTGAGGGGATTCGACAGGCATGAGAGGTAACTTCGGAAGTCGTGCTGTGCTATGGATAATAAGCTGCTGTTTTCCAGATGTGCCATGATGCTTGTCTTGATTGTAGAGCTGGTGAGACTGATAGGCCTGTAATTTGAAGGGCTTTGTCTTGATCCTCCTTTGTGGATGGGGGTTACAATAGCAGCCAGAGCTGATCCTATAGGGAGTATGAATCCTGAGTGAAGGCTTGGGAGAAGTAGTCTGCCATTGCTTCTGCGTTTTCATGATCTTCTTCGACTGTTCCATTGTCAACAGTCAGGTTCGGGACACAAATGGATGTTTTATTCCTGAAGTTCATGCACGAGAAAATCTTCTTAGGTTGTGCCTTTGCATTTTGAGCCAGATGTGCTTCGAACCTCTTCACTGATCGGCGGATTTCTGCAATAGCTTTATTTCTAGCAGTGTTATATAATTTCCTGGTCTCAGAAGTCTCAGGTGTGGCAAACAGGTTCTGACATTTGTGTTTATGTCGTGGTAACTTACGAATCTCCCGGTTTATCCAAGGGGGCCATGTTTCCGACCCTTCGGGACAGATCAAGGGATGAAAGGTTCAGTTACTTGGTTGTAAAGTTGTTTAAATTGGTTCCGTGCGGCTTCTACTTGGGACTCTGGGTTGATTTACCAGTTTGCTGAGTTGGATGCTGAGACAATCACATTTATATCAGCTTTCCAAACGTTTGGCCGAGCTGGGGTTTTGGCCCTTGCTGCCGTTGCTGTGACCTTGAAAGTGAGCACAGCATGGACATTTCTTCCTGAAGGAGGAAGATGTTGTATGAGATCCACATCCTCACCGTGGCAGAACACTAAGTCCAGGGTTGAAGAGGAGTTCTATGAGTCATAGCGTGTGGGCTTAAAGACATGTTGGACTAGGGCTACCAAAATGCTAGATTTCAGCAGTTTATGATTAAAGGAGTTGACTGAAGATGGAGTTGTTAGGCTCAACCAGTCAACTGTTGGGGCGTTGAAGTAGCCGACTACGAGACTTCGACATTTTAAAGTCCAGGAGCCTAGCTTCTCTATTAGGAAGTCGTCTGCACTGCAGTCAGGACTGCGGTACGCAGCAATGAGGTCAATGTCTTGGCCTATGCATTTAGGTCTGCAGCGTAGAAGTTCGCACGACTCATTTTCGTGGGCGAGTGCTTCGATACTACGCACGGTTAAGCCTTTCTTGAGGTAGATGACTACGCCACCCCCCATTGCGGTTTAGTCGGTCTACCCTGTGCACTTCGAAGTTTGGCAGGTTAATTTCGTTGTCAGTGACATCGGGTGTGAGCCATGTCTATGTGATGATAAGAACATCCGGGTTTCCGGAGTCTGTCATATTAACCAACTCGGTGCGTTTGTTCAGCAGGCTGCGGGCGTTTGTGTAGCAAGCTGTCAAGTCATTTTGGTGCTTCCCCGGCTTACCCACAGTGGTTTCAGGATCACTAAACTGCGAACTTTGACACTCTGAAAACCTTTAGTCTTAAGGTTCTTTTCGCCGTTTCAGCGTCGTTCGCTTAATTCTATAACCGCAGACTGTCTTTTGACACGGTCTGCTAGGCTTAAGTCGTTGCGGACATATATGCCTGATCCTTTATGAATTCGATAGTTGCTTGGAATAGCATCCCTCTCTTCTTTCGAGTTTTGTACGACTTTGAGGAGACGTGCATGCTGACTTACTGTAGGGTCAGGCTCTTGGCCGATTCTATAGACACTGTGTTGTGATGCCTGATACTGTTTGTGGCAGTAGCTTGTCTAAAAGGGGCCCAACCAAGTTAAGGTCATGCTCGAATCTGGCTTTGGGATCGTGTACCAGTGACTCTTCCACTTTGTGGAGAATGAGTGACCTCTCAGAGAGATCGGGTTTGTTTGGCGTGGCTTTTTTGATCTGCGGAGTAAGTGTCTTTCTGTCCTTCGGGGACCTTGTAGCCGATGTGTTATCCTTATCCCGATTTTTGCGAGAGACTACATTAAGCCATTCATTGGCGTCCTCCTCGCTAACCGTAGTAGGTTTTATCTGCCTGCTATTCACCGCTGTGGATGAGGCTTGATCTACCAGTCCCTGGGAGACCTCCGGGTACTCCTCTTCTTCGTGGCAACCTTTCCGTTACTTTCACTGAAGGGCTTATCCGGTGTCGTGGGGACAGTGTGGGTAGCTGGAATATAATGAGTGCTCTTCTGTACTGAAGGGCACTCACTCATTGACAGAAACGCATCAGAGACATGTGCTGTTTTGTCGATGGCGCCAGTCACGTCATCGTTGTCTGAGTAATAGTCGATATTCTACTTTGGTGGAAGACTCTTGCAGTCCATGAGCTTTATTGCCTCACTGAGAGTGGCAATGGCTTCTGTTATACGGAATTTAGTTGTACTACAACAGTCATTGCACAACCAGTTTGCTAGAGGTTTGCAGCAGCGTTTGTGTGCATCAGTAGTTAGGTTTTTGCACATGCTATGAAACCATATCTTGCAGTTACCACACTGCCTTCCCTCATATACTTAAAATTGTCACATAACGCTTCTACAGAGGTTTTTTTTTGATCGGCATGCTTTTTAGAGCGAACTGGTGAAAACAATTTACATATGACTTTAGATGTATATTTCCTTTATAAATTAGTGATAAAGCAAAAGTCACCTCACCTCCTTCAGTATGATAATGGGAAGAGATTTAAATGCTCCATCCCTACATCATAAGGAAGGAGTGAGATAAAGGCTGATACAAGCTTACTACAAACGTATCTGATGTTTGGAATTGAAAAAGATAGGCGCCAAATCAAAAAGTGACCTTGGCCCTCCAAATGGTCTTTAGACGAGATATCAAGTATCAGATAGCCAAGAAAATCTTAGAAAATGTTCCCAATGATCATTTTCTGCCATCCCCTTATCAGGTATGTACAACGTTTTTTTAAACTCTTCTTAAGCTCAATATTATATGTACCGTGGAAAGACATTGAAGTACTTGTTTTTTATTCGAAGTAGTATCATCAGTGAAGATAGAAATAATTGCTTTTATATGTCCTGTAATTTGTAATGTCAAGTAACGTGGATATTGGAAATAATCCGGAGAGAATTAACACCTTTCAATTCTTAAAAGAAATTCACTTACATAAAAAACTTTATGTATTTAAAGCTATGCATCTAAGAGTTCCTCGTGATTATCCATTTAAAATGGTGTCGTTCATCTATATGTTTCCTCACATCAGGTGTATGTGTAAATTAATTCACTTAACTTGATTCACTACAAACACATGTGAGTACCAAGATTTGATGATGAGGCTCTTCCTCTGGGATTCGAAAGTCATGTCTGCTACTCTTTTTAAAGAAAGTCTGTTAGTCGCCATTCTCCAATATATTTGAAGGCTTACAAAACCGTTTTGGAATGTTATACAAATTGAGTGCTCATAACTGAGGAATCGTTCAAGTCTATTTGCTTTTACTGCAGCTGTATACGATAATTTGCACTGTCTGTCTGTTTTCGACATAGAACTTTGCACAAATGTGCGGAAGTTCAAGTCGCCACATTCCGGAGCCATGTCACCAATTGTTTCCAACCATAGATTTTTGCCGTCCCGAGGACCCCAGCCTGGAAGTCTACACCTTCCTACGTGGCTTAGACCAACTGTTGTGGATTTCATTGACTGGTGCCAAGTTTTTGTTTGACCGCCGCTAGCTTTTTTCCAGCTGACCCTATATCTGCTAACATAGCTCGTCGAGGGAGGCGATGACTTGGCATACGTAACACATGTCCTAACCATCTCAGTCGATGTAGCTTCACGATAATTTGCACGGGTTCACTAAACCCTCAGCTGCTTTTGGGGTACCTTCACAATCCGTTTTCCTCTGTTATGTCTGTCGTAGAGTGTTGTTTTTTCTAAGTGTTGAAAGAAAGTTGTATCTTTCATTCCTATTCACTCCCCTTGAAGTTCTACACTTATGAATCTGCATGTAATGTAGATGTATTATCAATTTAAAAATTCGTATACTTGTGGAGATTAGTTTCGAAATCCAATATTCTAGATACAAAACTTATGGTTCGCAATGAACCTTCACAAATATTTTCCAATATGTTTTTGCGATTAACAGTTTAAAACTCATAAAAAATATGCTTGTACGACATATAGTTGCTCCGTTGATTTCGGAGTAAATAATAACAGGACTTTTATTTGATTACTTTGATAAAATATGTAGATAAATGTAGTTTTCTTGTATAAATTTGGTCTCTTATGTAGTTACTTTCATGCCTGCTGATATAACCTAAGGTTTCACCTTTTTGCAACACAATTTCTTTTGTTCACCTTACAGTTAGATCTCCTGGATGCTGCCTACGAAAGAAATACGATTATATGCTCATCAAATGAGTTGAATAAAATGTTTTTTGTTGTGAATCTAATCCGTGAAATGCGTTTTGACAATCCAGGGAAGCAAGTTATTTACTTCACAGATGGTTAGTTTGTTTATATCAAGTTTACATAATCTTCTTTTAGATGTTAAAATGAGCTCCATAGAAAATTTTGTAACTCATCACACTGGATTATCATGTGCTTACTTCAAATCAGATGAACAACATATTGGAAAATGTTTTTCTGATTGGTTATCTGTTTTACAAAAATACGATGTAATCCTGTTGTCACCTTGGCTAATTCCGATTATTATCACGTTGTCTTCAATTAATTTTTTAGTTAAATTCATTCATCAAGTAAGTCTCCAAGATTTTAAACACGAGTCTAATATGATAAACTTCTTGTACAAGAATTAATACCTCAGTCAAACTTTACATTCTTGTTGTATCTTCGTGAATCTTCCCAAAGTATGTTTGCTAAGCTGCGAAAAGTCTGTTAACACTGAATACCTTAGGTCCTTATGGTGCTTGTTGTCAATTTTTACTTCTGACTGATATTTTCGAGGAAGTTATGGAAAACGATATCCTTTTCTCAAACTTTCTTTTGTCCTCTAAATTTCTGGATGGGAATTTTTGCCATACTTGCCAAAAGTCAGGTCACGAGTTTCAGTCCACTCATTGGTGCTTGCGAATCTAAGCAGTATTAGAGCTCGCAAATATCAGTTCGGTGTGTCGTTAAGTGCACAAATCTCTATGTATTTATTGAGTTGCATTGTGAACCGCAAGTGTTTACCGTAGTATCTATTATTTGTTTATTTATTCTGAAGAGACGTAACTATCTGTTGAGGAATTAGTGTGTGATCTCAAACTAAACAAGTGAGTAATGATATTCGAAGGCATTTTCTTCTGTTGTACACGTTATCATAAGTGGCCTGAAAATAATGCCCCCATTTTAATAAATTATGTAAATGGAACTAGACTAATGAAAACAGTTATATGATTTTCAATGTGGAACTCGTCACAAACCAAGTTACTTGACCAGGTGTGAACCAAGAAGCATTGGGCAGGTGTTTTGTCCTAGTTTAAGACTCTCAAGCAGTATGCACCCATGATCCCACCGGTGATCGAACCTGGGGTCTTCAGGTTATGGCGTAAACTCGTTAAAAATCCAAATTAGTGGGTCAGAATTTAATAACTCGTAAACCATGATTTTGTCAGTTCATGACATAGGGCTACTGCTATCTAATGCCTTCGTTGGGAATCCACTTTGCCGTGATACAGTAGACCGCAGTAACATCGACTTCTCGTTACAACTTCAGGATATCCGTCAAGTTGCCGCCAATGAACTAGTGACTGATATTTAGTTTATGGATTTCAATGTAACCTGTAGGTCTCGGGTCTAATGCCTGGCGACCTTGTAGGTGCGTACTGTCGAGGAGTCTTAAACTAAGAACAAAACAGTTATCTATTGCTTCTTGGTTTTCATTTATTCACTAACTGGTGTTCATGACGAAATGTCCATTAAAATTCATCCAAATCCTTAACAAATTCCATAATCTAGTTATAGGAATAATAAAGTTACTTTTACTTTTCAAATGCGTATTCTGTACTGTTTTCCTCGCCTTACCTATATGTCTCGTTTACATTAATCTGTTCGGCATACTTCGGTAAACGATCCAAATCTATTGCCTCATTCTCCGCAACTCTCCGACTTTATGATGACGGTCACAGTTTTCCAGATTCTTCAAAGACAATATTTTCAGGTGTACGTCATCAAATAGCCAGAATTAATTATTTGTAATGCAGGTTTATATTGTTTAGTTTAAGTAGCCATGAATCAGCGTCACTATTTTTTAGGCGTTAAAATTGACATGCTTCTGTTATAAATTGCGGACTGCTTTATACTAACAAGACTCAGATGACAAATGTGACTAAGATTTTCAGATTTTGTTTGCTGTTTAGTGATGGATTTAAAAAATTAAAATTACCGCATACGTTTCGTTTTTTTTTGTGAATAGATCTGCTTGTATTAATAAAGATAATAAAATTGCAAAAGTTCTTACCGATTAACGAATATTTCCATTATTATTAATCACATATATGCTACTGTTACATTTTTATTTTTGTCTATAGAGCTATGGTTTACTAACCTAAACAGCTTAATACAATGCATAGATTTACCGATTTGAAATTCATCTTGCTTAGAAAGAATTAAATTAAAGAGATGGGTAATATGTAACCTAACTTTTATTATATGATACAGCTTATTCGACTCCACAAGTTGTGTTGGCATGTTTGGCATGCGATTCGCTCCCGCCACATGTAAAATGATGCTACAGGACTGGACTACATTGGCTTCTAGCTTAGAAATGGGGAGTGAAGTGGTAGAGTGTGTTGATCAGCCAGAGTTAATGGGTTAATCGTTGACAAAATCTCAGCACGAATACAGAGGGCTGGTTTCGCATATGCCAGTTTACGCCGTCCCTGGCCTAGATGTGATATCCGGCTATCGACCAAAGGGCGTATGTACTGCTCAGTAGGCAGTTCCGTCCTCCTTTATGGCTGGCTTTGAGACCTGGCCATTGAGAGTGGAAGGCATGAAAAGCCTGGTTAGCTGTCTTTGATCATAGGTGCCTGCGTTCTATCTCCCGTGTGAAATGGTATAATAGGGGGGGGCAATATTGAGGTTAGGCGTCGAGTTCTAGGCTGGTGGGAGGGGAAATCAATAGAATAAGCTGTAAAGTTATACCAATTGAGATGGTTAGGAAATGTGTGTATCGGTGGCACAGTGGTTAGGATTCTCGCCGACCATGCACATGGTCCGGGGTTCGAGCCCATGCCGACGCCGACGCACACCTGATATCTATGGTCGGCCTGCGAAATTCGGGCTACCGATATCCATGCTGAAAATCCCATACTTGTACCAAAAATACGGTGTGGAATCAAGCTGTAATCAAAAATAAAATAAATATGCCTCGCCATCGCCTTCCTCGACAATGGGCAGTGTTAGCTGACATAGAGTCAGATTGGTCAAACCAAAACATAGCTTCACAAGTCAGTGATGTAGGAAGATGTAGACTTCCTGACTGGTTGGGGTCCTTGGTACGGTAAACACCAATGGCATCATGGCATCAATCCATGAAATCCTTGACAGTTAGACTGAATCAGGTAGGGAGATGCAGACTTCCGGGTTGGGGCCCTCGGGAGTCTAAGAATCAATGGCTGGAGACAATAGGTGATATGGCTCAAAATCGTTGTCACTGGCGCAGATGTATTCAGTCTCTGTAATCCTTCATATTCCTTTCTACCATTACCCATTCTGTTTCACTCTTATACTTGTCAGACTGTATTGATTCTCTTCACTCATCTTGTCTACCTTTGTGTGGTATTTGGAACGTGGCAACTCGAAGTGCTGCACTTCGGTGCCAAGTTGTATGTTGAATCCAGACAGACAACACCAATAGCTCAGGACAATAGGTGATGTGACTCAAAATCGTTGTCAATGGCTAGCGAAGATGCATCCACTCCTTGTGACTTATAATTTCCAATGAAACTATATTGTTCTTCGTTATTACTATTCTTTTTGCCTCACATCTCTGTTTACTGTCTCTTTTTTTCTATTGCTTTTTACTTTCTTCTCTGGCTTTGTGTGCTGAGTGAAGTGTGGCGACTCGAACTGCTACACATCGGTACTAAGTTCTATGTTGAAACCAGCAGTCAGTCAGTCAGTCAGACAGATTGTGCTGATCAAAACTATGCTGAAACTTATTATAGCGTTCACTTATTTGCATGAATCAAATCAATATGCCAAACGATATCACTATTCGTGATGCTTATTAAATCTCTGTAAGAATACACTGGTGGTTGTCAGCAATAGATGCGATATTATCCTTAGTCTTAACGCAAGAAATATACTTCAAAGTAAAAAAAACCCATGTACAATGACTTACCAAGCGTTTGCTAAAAGTTGCTTTTATTTCTATCCAACTCTTCATCCTTTTCTGTATGTTGATACACTTAAAATTATTAAGTAATAATAATAATAATAATGTTTTAACATGGAAATCTCTTTGTTTCCCTTTTCACAGTGTGCCTATTTATTAGTAGCAGATGAATGTCATATGGTATTGGATTCAAATCATCCATTATCATTATTGTTTGGACCAAATGGTCCAATGATTCGAATGGAGGTTGCAGAGAAAGAAGATACGACCTATGAACAGACTATACAGGAATATGAAATGTCAACAATGGAAAAAGTTAGAATTTTGTGTTTTACATCTGCTCTATTGCCTAGAGAGATAACAGATCCACAAAAGGTAATCTAATTGTTTCGTTCATTGTTTGTCTTTATTCCTAATTTAAACAGCATTATATATATATATATATATATATATATATATATATATATATATATATGTAGAGATCGAAAGGTAGGCGATGAGCTGGACGTTAGTCCGACGGTGACATGGAGATCTGGAGAGGAGGAGGACTATGGGGGATCGTGGACCCAGCTAAAGAGAGCAGCGGTAAATAGGACGAAGCATAGATGTGCTGTTGAAGCCGTATATTCCACTGGAAACCCTAGGGAACAATAATAATAATAAAACCTGTATAGTGCGTTGACGTTTCAGTGGTAAAATGCTAGTCAACCATGGACATGGTCTGGGGTTCAAGTCCTGGCCAACAAACTCCTCAACCTGTCTCAGCTAGTAGTACACCCGGTAAAGAGGGGAGCTTGGGTGTGAGGCTAGCAATATCACTGGTACTGAAACTTCAAAGCGCTTAACTTGAAACTCTATGTCCCACTCGGAACGCAAAAGAATAGAATATATGTTAATGTGAAAATTTTCACTACACTAATCTGTTCTAACTGTGTTAAGATGCTGAAAATCTTGTTTGAAAAAAGGCAACTACATTTAGTCTGATCACCTTAGGTTGACTAACTCCAAAGTTAATCGATAATAACACCTTAAATGGTACTATACGGATCAGAGACTTGGCCAGCGCGTTATAAAGAGCACTTCAAACAAACTACAGACCTTCATCAACAGTTGTCTTCTCTCAATACTCAAGATCAGATGGCCGGCCAGAAAAGATCAGCAACAGGGTGGGATCTCTGAGAGCAAACCAACCAGGAAGCGATTGTGCAACAAATAAGCAGGAAGAAATGGAGATGGATTGGCTGGCCATATTTTGAGGAAACCATCGAGTGACATCACTAGGCAAGCCATTGCTCGAGTGGAATTAGGCCGAAAAGGAAGCGGCGAGTTGGCCGTCAGTGGGAGGGTGACTTGGAGGAGGTGGTGTGAAGAGGAGATGAAAGCGTGTGGGCAGACTTGGAGCGGGGTGAAAAAGTTGGCAGAAAACCGAAGGCAATGGAGGTGCGCAGCTGAAGCCCTATGTTCCTCTAGGAATTAAAGGATATTCTACTAATAATAATAACAAGGTTAATCGATAATAACACCTTAAATGGTAACGTTTTACTTTATTGATATATTTATTTTTTTTCTATTTAGGCTCGATTACGTTTGGAAACTCTTGAAAGAAGAACAAATTGTCGTCTTGAGACTGCTTCCGAATTACTAACAATGCTATCATTGGGTGCAAGACCACAAGAGCATGTAATCTTTTGTCCAAAGTCATCACCTCACTCACCAATACCATTTCATCAATTTATGCTGAAAATTTTCCGTGAAATCAAAGAATTTATCAATGACATAGAATTAACTATGTCGTCGATGAAAATCACATCAACATCAACAACAACAACATCAACGTCAATAGATAGTTCTACACGAATGGTTACAAATGCTGGAGGTTTTCGTGTCTGTGTCCTCGACTATTGTAAACGTGCTATTAACCAATGTGAAGAGATATTCAATGAATTAGGCTTATGGTGTGCAGCACAAATTGTTCGTGTATTCGCTAAACACCTAATTGCATTAGATCGTCAGCGTACTGAATTGATTAAACAATATGGAACAACAGTATCGACAGGGGTAGACAACGCAGCAGAGCAAAAAGACTGTCCTCCTCCGGTTAATTCATCGTCAACGGATAAAACTGACGATGGGAAGAGTAGAACAGAATATCCAATTACTATAACAAAGATAAATGATATTGAAAATCGTATTTCTTACCTACTACGGCATACTGTAACACAAATGTGTTTTTTGAGTCGATTGTTTCAAATGGAATTTGATTCGTGAGTTTTTCTCTCTTTCTGCCTTTTTGTCGTTTCACGTTTGCTGGTTTATGAGGGGAAAAAGAGAAGAGGAGAGGAGTTCTTTCTTTCATATATGAAAGAAACTTCAGTATCTGTTATCGTCTGATTTTCTGTATAAGAGCGATATGTTTGTTTTCATGTACTTTTTTTTTTACACTATTATGCAATCTAAAAAAGGTTGACTAACCTTCATAAATTTGCTCCATTTTATAGCACAGATGAGTTCGTCCACCACTTGGAATAGTCCTCTTTTACGAGTTGATCATGGATTGATATCAGTTAGAGAACCATTGAAAACCAGAGTTGGAGTACTGGACAGCTGCTGTTTCATCCTAGTTTGGGAATTATCGGCAGTATGCACTCACAACCAGGGTTCGAATTCAGAACCTTCCAGTTACAAGACTAGCTATCTCGTATACCATTCAGCCACTCGGACCCGATTCAATGGGGTCGCGCTAAATCACGAATTGGTAAAAGTTAGAATTCATGAGCCATTGAATCGGGTCCCAGTGGCTGAATGGTGTAACCGGAAGGTCCTGGGTTCGAATCCCAGTGGGTGCGTACTGGCGATGATTCCCAAACTAGGATGAAACACCTGTCCAGTACTCCAACTCTGGTTTTCAATGGTTCTCTAACTGATATCAATCCGTGATCAACTCTTAAAAACATAACTAACCCTTACAAGCCAAACTGTAATCCTTTTTGATTAACAATGTACTTTTTGAGATGGGACTACTAACCGTTAGGATGATTTAAGAAAGTTTCAAGTACTCAACTACTACTAGTGAGGTGTATCGAATCATTGCCCGTGTGTGTGTGTGTTGGCTCACTCTGACACTAACTGTGTTTACTGTTTAAGCCTGGAGTCTTAGGTGAAAGTGGTAAGCCAGTTAGTTGTTGAGGTGGTGGAGTGAAGTTGTAATTCGACAGCGGCAAATACTCAGTTCTCAGCCAATGCGTCATTGATACAAGTCCCGCTCCACCTACTTTATCCTGGCCAACTGAATAATATCAATTAAGCCTCATAGAGTATGCGTGGTTCGTTATAGCTTGGTGAGGTGGTGAAGCTCTGCAGCGGAAAATGACTGAGACGCTGTTTTACTCTTATCTCTCCCCCTCCTACTACTTAGGCCCAAAGTATAACTCCAGTTGGAATAGGATTCAGTTAGAAAAAATTATGATGGATAGAAAAAAAATAAGATACTGGATAGTTGAGACACTGCAAACTGATCTGCACTATTTGCGGGAATGTTTCGACTCTTCCTTTTAGTCTGAAACGCAGTCAAACGCCATGCTTGAAAACTGAATCCATCGATAGTTTTACTGCTGTACATCATAGTATTATCATTACTCTTTGTTGCCCCTCTTTTCATGTGGTACATATATATATATATATATATATATATATGTACCTCCGACAGATTCTAGAACATAGTCATTCCTACCGGCGTCCACAGGTCATTATATTTCTTGACCTAAAGGCAGCATTCGACTCTGTCGATCGGGAAGTTCTCTGGAGATGCTTGGCTGTAAAGGGAATTCCGAGAAAATATATTGCACTGATTAAGGCACTCTACTCGTACTCATACAGCCAGGTGAGGGCTTACGGCGAGCTGTCATCTGAACTGATGACGACCAGTGGTGTCCGTCAACGATGCCCATTTTCTCCTTTTCTATTCAACTTCATCATAGATGTGTTAATGGACTTAACCCTAAGTGACTTCAGCGACTCAGGGATTGACTTGCTACCGAGGAATAATCTCGTTGACTTGGAATATGCAGACGATATAGTCCTTCTAGGCGAAGACGCTGACGAAATGCAGAGTCTTCTAAACACCTTGAACAGCAATCTACGAATGTTTGGCATGCGATTCGCTCCCGCCAAATGCAAGATGATGTTACAGGACTGGACTACATCGACGCCTAGTTTAAAAATAGGAAGTGAAGTGGTAGAGCACGTTGACCGCTTCACTTATTTGGGAAGTACCATCAGCCCCAACGGGCTGATCTCTGACGAAATCTCAGCACGAATACGAGGGGCTCGTTCCGCATTTACCAGTTTACACCGACTCTGGCGTAGACGAGATGTTCGACTATCGACCAAAGGGTGGGTGTATTGCTCATCAGTCCGCTCCGTCCTCCTTTATGGTTGTGAGACCTGGCCACTGAGAGTGGAAGACATGAAAAGACTAGCTGTCTTTGATCATAGGTGCCTGAGCTCTATTTCCCGTGTGAAGTGGCATAATAAGGTGAGCAACATAGAGGTTAGGCGTAGAGTTCTAGGTAAACAAGGGAAATCAATCGACGAAGTTGTGAAGCTACAAAGACTGAGATGGTTAGGACATGTGTTACGTATGCCAAGCCATCGCCTCCCTCGACGAGCTATGTTAGCGGATATAGGGTCAGGCTGGAAAAAAGCTAGCGGCGGTCAAACAAAAACTTGGCCTTACCAGTCAATGAAATCCACAACAGTTGGTCTAAGCCAGCAACGTAGGAAGGTGTAGACTTCCAGGCTGGGGTCCTCGGGACGGTAAAAATCTATGGTTGGAAACAATTGGTGACATGGCTCAAAATCGTTCTCAGTGGCGCAGATGCATCCACTCCCTGTGACTTATGATCTTCAATGAAACTGTTTTGTATTTCTTTATTACTCCTTTGTCTCACACCTCTGCTCACTGTTTCTATTATGCTTTTCTTGTACTTTCTTCTCTTGCTTCGCGTGCTACACGGAATGTGGCGACTTGAACTTCCGCACATTTGTGCAAAGTTCTATGTCGAAAACAGACATATATATATATATATATATATATATATATATATATATATATATATTTATATGTATATATATATATGTACTAGCATACCTGTATTATTATTACTGTTGTCCCCCCTGTGTTTCGAGTGGAATATGAAGCTTCAACAGCACATCTCCACTTTGTTCTATTCTCTGCATTCCTCTTTATCTGTCCCCACGATTGCCCATAATCTTTCATCTATTCCTCGCACGACCTCTTTTATGTCACACTTAAAGTGACGCCCCACTTATCATCTCCCATTCGGGTTCCACTCCAGCGTTTGCCTAGTGAGCGATGTCATCCTACGGTCTTCTCAGCGTGTCTCCAACCCGTCTCCATTTTCTTCGGAATATTTGTTGAACAAAAGATTTTTCGCTGGTTTGTTCCCAAAGTTTCTGGTTGCTGATTCCATCTGACCAGCTACTTGATCTTCAATATGGAGCCATCGAAGAGCAGCTGTTGATAAAAGTTTTCCGTAGCCTGTTGGAAATGCTTTTTCGTGACGCTCAGTGACTGACTTATCATTTGTGTTGAAAATCCGAATTTTGTTGTATATACTGTGGATGGCAGATTTCCAAACTGGTTTCAAAGTGATAAAGGTGCATTTTGCCTTTCCTATTCTGGTTTTGACATCCCCATTAGTTCTGTGTGCCTGTAGTTGAAATGATGCTTCCTAGATAAGTGAAGGAAATAACCTCTTTCAAATTTCTCCCGGTGATTGGTTCTGGTTGCTGTTGGTTGGTTGGTTATCTTCATCACCTATCTTCGTCTTCTCTATGTTCACTTGAAGTCCTATAGGGAAGACTGAATCCACAAAACCTAGTTTGTAATTTAAGCGCTTCAGTCTTGACAGCTCTGTATGTTCAACATATAGTATGATGCATTTATTGTTATCGCCTATGCTTGAACTGATATCAGATTCGAATCCACAGTGACTTTTATCTTAATATCATTATTATTGTTCCCTTGGGTTCCTAGTGGAACATAGGCTTCAACTGCACGTTTCCACTTCCTTCTGTCTTCTGCTGTACTTTTCACCTGCATCCATGTTAGTCCATACTCTTTCAACTCCTCTTCACACGATCTCCCCCATGTCACCTTTGCACTGACGTCCCACTCGCCGCTTCCTTTTAGGGTTCCATTCGAGCAATGGCCTGACGCGCGCGCGATGTCACCAACCGGCCTCCTCAGCGAGTGTTCAATCCATCTCCACTTTCTCCTGCATATTTGTTAGGCGATTGGTTCTTGTTTTGCTTGTTTGTTCCCATAGTTCCTTGTTGGTGATTCTTTCCGGCCCGCGGCCATCTGATCTTCAGTATAGAGCCAGCGAAGACAGTTGTTGGTTGATAAACGTCTACAACAGACTGTTGGAAATATTCTTTGTGACCCGCCCGACAAGTTTCTGATCCGTATAGAAGAACTGACTGACTTGACGTTTGTATTGAAAATCTGACCGAATTTTGTTGTTGATGCCGGCTGAGTGACAGATGCTGATTTCCAGATTGGTTTCAGGTTGATGAGTGAATGTGTTTCTCGCTGGCCTTCCCGATTCTCGCTCGATTTGACATCCTCGTCCGTTCCGACTTCCTGTAGTTGAGACAATGCTCCCTAGATAAGTGAGTGAATGAAGTAACCTCTTGGAAATCCCTCCCGTTGACGGTGATTGGCGCTGGATTTTTGTGTTGTTGTTGGTTGATTATTTTCATAACCTCCGTCTTGTCCATGTTCACTTGGAGCGCTGTCTTCGCCGACTGCTTCTTCGACCAGTTTGTCGGTTTTCGCTTGTAAGCCTTCGACTTTGTGTGACATCAAACATAAATCATCCACGTGTGAAATCCAGGTCTTCTAGGTTCTTCACGTCGGTTGGTCCAGGATATCCCTACCTTCTCGTTTCCCACTGTCTGACGCATAATCCAGTCCACCACAATTAGGAATATCATTGGTGATAATAAGCCCACCCTTGTCTGACTCCTGTGTCTACTCCTAAGGCCTTGCTGAGTTTTCCATTGTGGATCACTTGACATGTGCCATTGTCGTACAGCTGTTGAATAAGTATCTTAATATACCAATATGACGTTTCTAAGGCAAACATGTATCATTTATCTATGTTATCTTGTCCCCAATTTTTCATCCGCTTTATTATTTTTTGAATTTTATAGAATTTTAACATTAACCGAATTCCAGAGTATGGTTTCACCTAAAGTATTACGCCTTATTGAACAGCTGAAGCTATACAAACCAAATATGAATTTTCGTATTGAAGTAGCTGAATTACCTAATGCTAAAAATTCATCTATATCAATCAAATCAACTAATGAAAATCGTCGTAAAGGCGGAGCTGGTAGAGGTGGACGCGGCCGACGTAGTTGTAGTCAAGCTTCAAGACAATCACGTTCTTCAATGTCTTCTTCAATGGGTATCCTATCATGTGATGTTGACTCATTATCTGATAGTATGTCAGATACAATGAGTAGCCTGTCAGATGATGATGAAGATGGTGGTGGTGGTGACAGTGATAATCGCAGCCTTCGTAGTCTAGGCTCAAAAAAGTAAGTTTTTGTAATTACTTGATAAATGTGCAACTGTAACCGTAACTCTGATTTTGGATTTGAAAGTGTATAGGAGCTTTTTATGATGTAGATGTTAACTGTTTTCGTTGATCTGATTCAGTAGTTTCGTTTTCCTATCATCTATGAGCGTAACAATAAACCATGCCTCTTGTGCTGCAGTAGTTGATAATATTTATTTAGACGCAGAAGACCTTGGTACAATATGGCACCAAGGAAGATGCGCCACACACTAATAATAAAACAACATAGATAAAAAGAAAAGAAAGAAAAAAGAGAAATATATATATTGTCTGTCTGTCTGTCTGTTTTCGACATAGAACTTTGCACAAATGTGCTCCAGTTCAAGTCGCCACACTCCGTGTAGCACGCGAAGCAAGAGAAGAAAGTACAAGAAAAGCATAATAGAAACAGTGAGCAGAGGTGTGAGACAAAGGAGTAATAAAGAAATACAAAACAGTTTCATTGAAGATCATAAGTCACAGGGAGTGGATGCATCTGCGCCACTGAGAACGATTTTGAGCCATGTCACCAATTGTTTCCAACCATAGAGTTTTACCGTCCCGAGGACCCCAGCCTGGAAGTCTACACCTTCCTACGTTGCTGGCTTAGACCAACTGTTGTGGATTTCATTGACTGGTAAGGCCAAGTTTTTGTTTGACCGCCGCTAGCTTTTTTCCAGCCTGACCCTATATCCGCTAACATAGCTCGTCGAGGGAGGCGATGGCTTGGCATACGTAACATATGTCCTAACCATCTCAGTCTTTGTAGCTTCACGACTTCGTCGATTGATTTCCCCTGTTTACCTAGAACTCGACTGAGGCCTAACCTCCATGTTGCTCACCTTATTATGCCACTTTACACGGGAGATAGAACGCAGGCACCTATGATCAAAGACAGCTAGTCTTTTCATGTCTTCCACTCTCAGTGGCCAGGTCTCACAACCATAAAGGAGGACGGAGCGGACTGATAAGCAGTACACCCCCCTTTGGTCGATAGTCGAACATCTCGTCTACGCCAGAGTCGGCGTAAACTAACAAATGCGAAACGAGCCCCTTGTATTCGTGCTGAGATTTCGTCAGAGATCAGCCCGTTGGGGCTGATGGTACTTCCCAAATAAGTGAAGCGGTCAACGTGCTCTACCACTGTATATATGTAGAAAACGGATTAAGAATTTCATCTGGAAGGAAAACATTCATACTTAACAAGTTCAAACAGTATTCGTTAACTATCATCGGAAAGGGAAAAATGAAGGAAATTGCAACACGTTCGCCATTGATTACGATTCTTGGCCATATCCGATAACGTTTCGAGCCATCGATTCGAGCTATCTCGCGGACCCCACCCAGGGAGTCGTGACACACCAACCGATGCTAATCTAGCACAAACATCCTTCATCCCACGACGCCACGTCATGGACTGATCACCTCTCCGCCTTTTCCATCCCGTCCCAGGGCTGGCTAGCGAACAGAGACCTGTACGGAAGCCTCTGGAATGACATTCGTAGCACATGTCCAAGCCACCGGAGCCAGTATTTCCAGATGACGACACTCAATGAATGTTGATCTTCACTGTGTTCAAACACACGCCACCGAACCTCAGAATTACTCACGCGATGATGCCATCCATCGAACGCAAACAATCCTGAGGAGACAGCGATGATCGAACACGCAGAGTCGCCGCCTCACATCCTCAGCCTTCTGGGAGAGGCCAGGTTTTACAGGCATAGAGCAAGACAGCCCGCACCGAAGCATTGTGTACCCGACCTTTGACAACCAGGCTAACGTCACGACGGCGCCAGAGGTGGCTGAAGTTGATGTATACCACCCTAGCTTTCATTATACGGTTGGAAATCTCATCCGTCACCCGTCTGCCAGCACTTGAAAATTACCCAGGTACACAAACTTATCAACAACTTCAAGTGGTTCACCCGCAAGAGTGAGTGCAGGTACAGGCTCCTGCCAATCTTGTAAGAAGTTGATAATAGCACTGGATGTAAATCGAGTTTCTGGAATGATCCAGGTACACATGAAGCATGAGTGTTCGAATCTCAAAGGGAATACATCAGTTCCTTCAGGGTTGCAGATACGCCTTACTGACGCATGCTAATAAGTATACGGAATTTAGGTGCAAGAATTCCTGTTAAGTGCCTCTAACCAAGCTGTATCTCCATGGTGAGTCTTACAGCTTACTGACTGGCTCCAGTGCAAAGTTAATTGATAGAATTTTGTCAGCATAAATACTGGTGAAACGCATAAGGATCTTCTAAATGATCTTCCACGATATAGACGATATTGTTAATAATAACAATAATAATAATAATAAGTTTTACTACCGTATTGTTTCATTCTCTTTTTTGTATTATCTTTCTATAGGTCTCGATATTCCACACATTCTATGAAAGACTTGAATTCATCATCCAAACGTCATAAACGTAAAAGTACGTTTTTGTTTTCACCAAGTAGAATATACTATGAATGTCTTGATTTTGTTGATTATATTTACTAACCCATAAGCCTAAATTCTCTCATTTAAATATATGTTTCACATTCGATCAGGAATTCATATTGGTTAGAGAACTACTCAAAAGCAGGGGGTATTTGGCAACTGTTTCGTCCTATTTTTGGACTCATCAGTAGTACGCACCCACCTCCAAGGTTCGGAATCAGTACCTCCCGGTTACAAGGCGAACTCGTAGACCACTCAGCCGCTGGAACCTGACTCAGTAGCCAACCCATGGATTTTGACTTCTACAATTTTTGATCACCAGTCACCAGTGCTCCCTGGTTTTTAGTGGCTCTCTGACTGATATGAATCTGTGACCATACCTTAAACAAATCAAATTCCAAAACACCAAATCTTGAACAATAATCTGGTACTAATGACTGGCTGCAGGATTAAGTTCTCTGGAGTTCTAATGAGAAGTCGTGACCAGTGGGATCTATCCGACCGGGAATAAAGGGAAATACTCGCCACGAATGACATTGGCTAGTGCCAGTCACGCTAAAATCACGAATCGGTAACGGATAGAATTGATTTGTTGACCATTGAGTCGTCTCCCAGTGACTGAATAGTCTACGAGCTTTCATTGTAACTGGAAGGTCCTTGGTTCGAACGCTAGAGGTGGGTGCGTACTGCCGATGAGACGCAAACTAGGATGACGAGACAGCTGTCCAGTACTTCCAGGTATTCCAATGGTTCTCTAACCATTAATGTTTAAACATAGAAAAGACAGGGTAAATAGGTATAAACTTATTACAATGATATCATAATGTCTTTGAGCTATTCACTAGTGAAAAACTAGTAATATGTGATGAACAGTGCGTCGGTGACACAATGGTGGAATGCTCACCAACCATGCCTCACGTGTTCCCCGGGGTTTGATCCCCGGCCGACGGACCACTCCTTTACCTCGCTAAGCCAGTAATAAGACGACTGGTAAAGACGGAAGGTTGGGCATGAGGGGTGGCTAGCACAACCCTATCACGTAAAAAATGAACACCACTGCTATTGAAAATTCAATCCACAAGTTTTAAGTGCCCTATGTTCCAGGAGGAACGTGCAGGAATAAAAAAAAAGCAACGTGATGAACATAATTTTATCCTGTACAAATATTGCAAAATACTTCAGATTGAATTAGATCTTTATTTTCTGAGATATTTTCGAGAAAATGCTGTTTGCGAAAAACAATATTCTATTTACCGCATACTAAGCTTACAAATGGTTTCTCTGTTGGTGTAGCTGTAAGCCGCTGATGTTCGTGGGTAATGTGATTCAAATCGGTATACTCTGTTTATTGGTAAATTAATTGACTAGACAAAAAAGTCACATCTCTTTAAGGACATCGCAATTCTTAGTTATTTGCTTGTTATAATATTCAACATACATATAACCCCTTTGATGGAACACTAGATAATAAGCAACTAGTGTCACGAGTCTAACTAGTCCTGCGTTTGGTGCAGACTGAATTCTTTCTGTCAAGCATGCAATGTGATCACCATGCCACTAGATGGTTCGCCATCCAACTTCTGCCAATTCACGACACAGGGCGTAAGGAAAAATGCTCGCTGAAGACATTGCGAAGTGGTCGCGCTATGTCATGAATTGGCAGAAGTTAGAATTCATGGATTGGCGATTGGATCGGGTTCCAGTGGCTTAGTGGTCTACGAGCTAGCTCGCTGTGTAACCAGAAGTTCTTGGGTTTGAACCCTAGCAGGGTGGGTGCGTACGGATGAAGAGTCCCAGACTACTACGAAACGGTTATTCAGTACACCAGATTGGTTTTCCAATGGTTCTCTAACCGATATTACTATTATTGTTGTTTTTTCTTTGCATTTTCTCCTCATATTCAGAAAAATTTAATTCTTCAGCAAATATACCCAATTTCAAAGATCTACACTTTGTTCCTGCATCTACACTGAATAGTGGAGGTATGAAACCAGATATTGATCCGTCGACATTAATTTATCGTGCTGTATTAGACACGGATCATGATCATGACAATAAAAATAATCAATCAAAATCATCAGAAAAAGTATCACCTAAAAATGGTTCTACGGGGAATAATATTTCTTCGAATCGTCTATGCGGTTTAATTATAGCTCCGTGTCAATTTTCAGCCTATGCCTTGTCACGTTTAATTGATGAATTATGCATATGGGATGTAGATTTATACTTTATTAAAATTGCGCATTTATTTTGTCGTCAAACCTTGTTGAAAGGCGATGATGATGATGATGAGGATAATAAGTCGTCAAGTACAGCATTTATCAATAAGGCTAAACAACAACACACATCAAATTTTAATTCATATAAATCTCTTGTGAAATTTGGCAATGAACCTGTAAATAATGGTAAGTCAGTTTTTTATTTTTGAGGCTAAGCGTTATTTCATCATAGATATACTAATGGAAGTATCCTTAACTGAACGTAACGACTTAGGGATCGACTTGAGGAGCAATCTTCGTATGTTTGGCATGCGATTCGCCCCTGGAAAATGTAAGATGCTGCTACAGGACTGGACTACGTCAACTCCTAGCTTAGTGATAGGCAGTGAAGTGATAGAACATGTTGACCACTTCACCTATTTGGGAAGTTGTATTAGCACCAACGGACTGATTGGCGATGAAATCTCAACACGGATCCTAAAAGCTCGAGCTGCTTTCGCTGACTTACACCATCTCTGGCGTAGGCGTGACATCCGGCTATCAACCAAGGGACGTGTGTACTGCTCAGCAGTTCGCCCCGTCCTTCTCTATGGCTCTGAAACATGGCCAATACGAGTTGAAGACATGAAAAGGTTGACTGCTTTCGATCATAGATGTCTGCGATCCCTGTCTCACGTTAGGTGGTTTAACAAGGTAAGTAATGTTGACGTTAGGCGTAGAGTGTTGGACAGGCAAAGAGGGAAAATCAATCGACGAGGCTATAAAGTTACATAGACTAAGATGGCTAGGTCACGTGCTTCGCATGCCTAACCACCGCCTCCCCCGACGGGCATTGCTAGCTGATATAGGTTCAGGTTGGAAAAGAGCCAGTGGTGGCCAAACAAAAACATGGCCTCATCAATCCATGAAATCCTTGACAGTTAAACTGAGTCGGTCAGGTAGGGAGATGCAGACTTCCGGGTTGGGGCCCTCGGGACTCTAGGAATCAATGGCTGGAGACAATAGGTGAAATGGCTCAAAATCGTTGTCAATGGCCAGCTCAGATGTATTCAGTCTCTGTAATCTTTCATATTCCTTTCTACCATTACCCATTCTGTTTCACTCTTATACTTGTCAGACTGTATTGATTCTCTTCACTCATCTTCTTGTCTACCTTTGTGTGGTATTTGGAACGTGGCAACTCGAAGATGGTGCACTTCGGTGCCAAGTTCTATGTTGAGTCCAGACAGAACAGACAGCTAAGCGTTACTCCAAAAACTGTCTGTTTATTTGCATATATATGTTCTCAGTCAAAAACACACTTACACCTGCGCGGCATCGTCTCAACTGCAGGTGTAACAGCACAGATGAAGCATGTTAAAGGTAGCCAAAATTGGGGAAACAAGATAGGCTTTCATTGCTCTGAAATCGGTGTTTTAGATCTATAGTACTTTTAACACATGGACAAGATCTGAATTCTCAAAACTAATATGTCAAGTCACTGAGTGCTTGGAGTGTGAGCGTCACGTCATGAAGAGCATTTTCAACAGGCTACCGCAGACTTTCATCAATAGCTTCATTTCACTCACTGTTGAAGATGTATATATATATCCTTTACGTTCCCAGTGGAACATAGAGTTTCAAGTTAGAGCTATGAAGTCTCGGTAGCAGTGGTGTTTATTTTTACGGGATGGGGCTGCTAGCCAGTCTCATGCCGAACCTTCCCTCTTTACCAGTCTTATTACTGGCTTAGCGAAGTAAAGGAGTGCATCCGTCGGCCGGGGATCAAACCCAGGGTCACGTGAGGCATGGTCGGTGAGCATTCTACTGCTGTGCCACCGATGCACACCAGAAAGAGAAAGCAAATAGAAACTCTGACAACGAGCAGCAAATGGGCTAAGAACCTTACTGTGCCCAACAAACATGCGGAAGAGACTGTTGTTAGTGACAACAGGCATACACCACTCACGCAAGCCGTGATTAGTAATAATAATGATGGTAGTAATAGATGAAGGTGGATACGATACATTTATTTTGTGATAATGGCTGAATGGATTGAGTGGTTGTATAAGCCGTGGTTTAGTTCGACAACTTACGTCACTCTTCTGCGTTCATTAATCGAAATTTCATCTGAAGTACTGCTTGACTTAATCACTTCAGATGATTTTATCAACATGCGTTTTATTAGATTTCCCTTAACACAAATACAGTTAAGTGTTACTTGTTGTAAGTTTTTCGAATTTTCCGTCGACTAACTGTCGTTGTATTATTAATTTTATTCCTTTACATTTCGAGTGGAGCAGTTAGCTTCAAGCTAGAGCTTTGAAGTTTCCGTCGCAGTGGTTTCTATTTCTACGGGATGGGGTAGTTGCTAACCTCACGCCCAGTCTTCCCTCTTTACTGGCCTTACTACAACCGTTTAAGTGAGGTTTAGGAGTGAATCGGCGGGAATCGAACCCTAGACTACGAGCATTGTACCAGTGAACCATTGACGCATCATTCTAGCTTTAGTTGACTTCCCATATCCCGACAACCCAACCGACCTGTCTATTAATCTGATCGATAAAGCTGAACTCACAGTCCTTACACTGTACTTTATAAATATTATTATTATATTAAACATTATTTTGCCTTTTGGTCTGTGGTGCCCTAAAGCCGATAAATTTTATCCAACGGAGACAGTATATCTGATCCACCGAGATAGACCATACGTCTTATTGACGAGTGCCAATACGAATGAAACCTAGATCCTAGGGTTTCTTGTCGATTGTTTTTTAGCCTCCATTGCCTCAATTCAAATGGCAGAACAGAAAGCCATAAGCTTTGGGATACCTATCACATATTTTTTAGTTTCCGGTATTTTGCATTATCTTGTGAAAGCTCTATACATCGGTTTAAGCTTCTGTAACTGAATGGTTTCGAGGAAGCTTTTTTTACATTAGTTTACGTTTTAAGAAGAAGTGAATTAGGGAAATGTTTCATAAGTTATTATCGAGACAAGAATTCTGTCTTCATCTATGTGACTTGCCTCAGAATTACTAATAAATAAAGTTACTCGCATATTTTTTTAAATTTTTTTCTAAATTCGTTCACGTTCCCAGTGGAACATAAGGGGGCTCTAAGCTAGAGGCTTAAAGTTTCGGTAGCAGTGGTGTTTAATTTTTTATTTTGTTTTTTACGTGATGGGCTTGCTAGTTACCTAATGCCCAACCTTCCCTCTTTACCAGTTTTATCACTGGCTTAGCGAGGTGAAGGAGTGCGTCCGTTGGCCGGAGGTCGAACCCTGAACCACCTGCGTGGTCAGCAAGCATTCTACCGTTGTGCCACCGACGCACACCCGCATATTTGGACGGCCTAAAAACTCATAACACAGTAATACAAAACTCTAAAGAGGGAGCTTTGTAGGTCAGAAATTGAAAATGTTTACTTTAATCTCATAAGTAACCTGTGGATCAAGAATTTCTTACTAAACTGTGTCTTCTGTTGATCAAAAGTTAGTCAGTAACCTTTTCTAGACAACACAGCTGCATGATTGACGAGCTCTTTACCACTGAATCACCGACGCCGTGATGCTAAACTAAAATATGCTCCGTCTCTGTTGTCATGGCAACAAATGACTACTCTACCAGATGTTAGTTACACAAGAGAAGACCGTCCAGACTCAGTACCCTAGTGGTGTATGATAGTGTGGCGTTCAAAATGATGGATCCTGGGATAATAATAATAATAATAACTTTATTCCAAACAGTATTTGTTTTACACGTATGGAATTTTCAGCGTGCATTACAATATATTCCATCTAATTACCTCATAAATTTTATAAGATTTTAAAATCAAAAAGCAACGCAAAAAAAGATAAATAAAAAAACAACAGCGCTGCCTTTACATTTTAAACAATGCACCACAGGATATGAAATATAAAGTTGATGTGTGAATAGAAGATGAGAACAACAGTGTAATAGTAACGAGGAAAGGAAAACAAAAACTAATGGGACTATTTGTTAAAGTGCCGCAGTAAGTTGATCGTGTCATACCTAACGGATTTCTCATCACATAACAGCTGTGCCAGATATGGTATTGTGGAGTTTTTGTACTTGGTAGTCCTATCATATAGCCTCCTATCTATAGCTGCTTCTAGTTCTACCAGATGAAATGAAAGGAGACAGCTGCGTCAAGAGAGGATTCTCGGGTTCTGACAATATTGTATTCGCTAGTTTCTTACATAATATGTCTTTCCACAATAGTGTTAACCAGTTGGTTTAACGATATCCCACTTGCCCTACTAACAGCTTTTAGTGCCCTTCTCAGCAAAGCAAAGTCTTTTTTAAGTAGTTTAGGAAAGATCGGGACACGCACTGGGGAACACGATCACTCAGGTGTACATCTAGTTGATGAGTCCCGGATTGGGCAGAAATATGCACTCTGGTTTCTACTGACAGACACACAATCAATTAATTGGAATCGTTTTCATTCTTCATGACAAAAAAACAAGAAATGAAATCACTCTGACTGAAGAATATTCATCGTAGTGAATTGTCTTTCCGACTTCTCAGGGTTATAAAATAAAATATCTGTTATCATTACAAATAATGGTCAGTCAACTGCGAATGCATTTTCTTTTTACGTGGAATAACAGATTACTTATAGAGTAACAAAGATAAATAGTAACTGTGTGACAGCAAACACGCTTGGCTGAATGCAATTACACAATATTGTGAAATACCGACACCAATGATTCTAAGTAGTCATTATAGATTCATACAAAATTAAATTAAAGCTTCTTCTCTCATAATTATTTGTTTTGTAGACAGTTCATCAACCAATCCACGGAATCCCTTCTCTGTTAATCAAGAAGAAACTATAACAAATTTTCGTCGTGGTGCTATCAATCTCTTGGTAGCGACTCAAGCAGCTATTTCAGCCGTAACAACTAGTGGGAGTGAACTGCCTAGATGTAATTTAGTCATCGCTCTACGCCTACCGAATAGTTTAGCTGAATACTTGTCAAGTAAAGCAAGATCAAGGCTAGTGGATTATGGTGCAAAAGTGATTTATCTAATAGATAAGAAAGAAAATCAAAATGGTGATGGTGATGATGATGACAATGTCTCAGATTGTAATGCTCAAACAAACGATCAATTTTTGGGGAAGTAAGTGTGTTACCTCTTTTTTCATGTGCGTGTGTGTGTGTGTGTGTAAATTAAACAAATAATTAGAATTCAAATGTTGGTTTGTAGGGATTTGATTGGTTACAGGATTTCATCATGAAGTGACATTGTTTAGAGAGAACCATTGGAAAACCACCAGTGGAGTACTGGACTGCTGTTTCAACCTAGTTTTGGACTCTTCAGCAGTACACACCCACCTCCAGGGTTCGAACCCAGTACCTTATGGTTACAAGGTGAATTCGCCTCAGTGAGTGCATACTGATGAAGAGTCTCAAACTAGGACGAAACAGCTGTTCAGTACTCCAGTGGTAGTTTTCCAATGGTTCTCTCTAAACAATGTCACTTCATGATGAAATCCTGTAACCAATTAGAGTTCAAGTCAACGGGAACATCAGTTGCCCGCATCATTTTTATCATATAGTAGGCTATAATATTCATATTTATTATCGAAGGACGGAATCAGGTGTGGTGAGATTCGAATCCAAGGCCTGTTGGCGTTGGAGTAACACCTGAGTGTTTAACCTAGTGAAGCAAACACGCCTCCATCAGAAATAACTGTAACTTATTTAATTCAGGTTGGATTTTCTTGTTGATTGATTGATTGATTGGATTGGATTGGATTGAAGTGTTCGGTCTCTGTTGACATGCCACCTCCCTGTGACGATGCTTCGATAATGTCTGAGGATTTAATTTGAAGTGGACCAATTGGTGGTCTAGTGGATAACGCTTCGGTGTTTCTGCTACATTGGGAATACCATCACTGACTTAGTGAAGAATGCAGGTATATATATATATATAATATATATTATTATAATATATATATATATATATACAGTCGAAGAGTCTCAGCATAGGACGAAATGCGCATCCTGGATTATACACATATTGTTCAAAATGTCTTCTTTTCCAGATTTCAACAACTTGAACAACTTCTTATCCAACGATGCAGAGGTTATAGTTTTTTCTGTGATGAACATGATGTTGATGCTTCAGTGGCGGATAAAATTCTTCCTCCAATCTTTCCTCGTGGTCCGAATGGTCCAAAAGTTAGTTTACAATATATTTTTACTATTTCTTATTCACAGTTGCATATATATATATATATATATATATATATATAGTCTTGGTTACATTGGAAGAATGTTGATGCCAGTTGGTAACCATAGTAAGCTTAATTGTGAACTTGTTAGGTATTTATTTTGTGCTTCTTGGTTTTATGATAATGAAACTTGAATCGAGGGCAACACATCGCAGACATCGACTAACTACCTGTCATTTTTCAGAGGTCATTGATATAACTAGCGGTCAATAGACTAAGTGTTCCTCATTGTCTGATTATGTAAATAGTTTACACTGTTGCGAAGATCTGAATGTAATGATGATGACGATGTGAGTAGTTTTCTGACCTATCCTGACTTTGAAAACGCTGGGGGGGGGAATAGAAAAAGTTTATGATTTCCTATTACTGACAGTGAGTCGATCTATTCACAATAGTATCTACAAAACATAAAATCTTCTATGTGATTATTACATTCCCTTGGGTTCCAAGTGGAACATGGGGCGGCTTCAACAACACATCTTCACTTTCTTCTATTTTCTGCCATCTTCTTCAGCTGGGTCTACGATCGCTCTTAATCTCCCATCTGTTTTTCATATGATCCCTTCCATATCACCCTAAGGCGAGTGTGACCACTTCCTTGAGCAACATTGAGATGAAATCTATCTGATGTGTAGTATATCCGTCGGGCGAAATCCACGTTGCTCTGTGTTTATCCTTGTGTTTGTGCACACTGTCTCTGATCACCAAATCACTGAAGGCGGAAAAGTCTGCGAATAGTTCTTCGTTCTCATTCATTTCACCGAGCTAGTGCCTCTCTTCAGGTATTATCTTCTTTCAGTTCCGTTGGTATTCATATCGCCCATAAGTATTTTGATGTCACCATTTAGGATGTTGTCCACTACTGTTTGTAGTTGTCTGTAAAAGTCTTTCTTCTTCTCTTGTTCCGCGTTGTTTGTAACACTGTGCATAGCATTGAATAATTGTGACCTTCCTGATCCTGGATGAAATTGAGCTTTGGATGCCACTGGTGATATCATAATAGTCACTCAATGCCTCAGTGTGTTCGTGATTGTCATCTGGATTACCAGACCGGAGTAGATTACTGACTTAACAGTTGACAATGTCGACAATCCATATCCATTCCATCTGCTCTCGCGAATACCCAGCACTTCTATGCCATATCTTCACATTCCTGTGGCTACCTGGACAGCCTTCTCAGTCTCGTACACTGTACGTACATTCCACTTCCCAATTCTCATTCTTGTTTTCATCAAGGGAGAGAAAACCCATCGGCTGGCTGACTGGCATCCCTAAGGCTTTCACCAGCCTTCTGTGTCATTTTGCCTCTCTGATTCGAGCGAGGAATAAGCTTGTTATTTGAATTTTTCGTATTTTTAATACGTTTTCTGTGTGTTGAATTTCCTCTAGAGGTTTGATAGGTTTAGTCGTGTAGGGTCGCTAGCCACATGCCCAACCCTCCCTCTTAACCCGAGCTTTGGACCGGCTAGTTAACTAGGTGAAGTACTTGTATCTGATGATAGGCCTTAAGTAGTTGTGGTGACACAAAACACATGCGTTTTTCATACAACTGGTTCCCTGTATTAATTTGAATAAAGAAAGAACGGTCATATTTGCAGCCAGAATAATATGAGCTCACTTTATTTCATGGATTCTCTTCAACTGCATACATCTTAAATAGAATCAATTATAAGTTACAAAATGTTGTGTAAAATGACTTTTTACAATGACTTCAAGTTATAAACAGGAAGCATAGGCAACATAATTTCAAAGATGATGTAATTAGACGAATTATTCAGTGTTAAAAAAGATTAACTATTTGTATAGTAATTGGAGAAGGGGGCAGGCAGAGTTCAGATTTCTCCTGGAAACAAGGATATACTAGAGACAAAATACAAGGCAGAACAACGGAGTGAATTTATGCATATTTTGATGGAGATATCAGCAGGATGGAGGTGAGAATAGTAAAGTAGAATTGTAGGATAGATAAAATAATTTAATTTAGTAGATTTGGAAACTTTGAGAGTGAGTTCAACTCAGCGAGTGAGAATCATAATCAGAATTCATTGGAATGTAATGCGGGAGAACAGTAAAAACACAAAAGCACACGAACAAAACAAATTACGGTTACCAGGTGGGGGTAGTGAGAGAGATTAGTCACACTATCTTTCTGTATTCAGAGGTGTGGTCAAAGTCTTTTGATGACTTGCAGTGGCTTCTAAGAACTGAAGTAACCATTGATTCCTTTGTTTAATTGATAAAACGAGCTTGTATAATGCTGCGAATATGTTCATTCTTTCTTTATTCAAACATGCATTTCTCTCCTCTATATTGTTTCAAAAGTTCTTAGACTTTCGCTGAATTAGTAACGAAAGAGTTCTTTTTATTGCTTTACGTTCTCAGTGGAACATAGGGCTCCAAGCTAGAGGCTTGAAATTTCGGTAGCAGTGATGTTTGTTTTTACGGGACGGGGTTGCTAGCCTCATGCCCAAACTTCTTTATTCACCAGTCTTATTACTGGCTTGGCGAGGTAAAGGAGTGCATTGACCGGAATCGAACCCTGGACTACACGAGGCATGGTTGGTGAGCATTCTACCACTGTGCCACTACTGATGCTGACTGACTTAGTGACCTGTTTCAGCATAGAACTTTGCACCTATATGCAGCAGTTCGAATCGCCAAACTTTACTTAGCACATAAAGTACGAGAAGAAAGCGAAAAGAAATGCAAAACAGAGACAGTAACACAGAAATATGTGGCAAAAGGAATAGTAATATGGAAGAACAATATAGTTTTATTGGAAATTATAAGTCACAAGGAGTGGATGCATTTGAGCCTGCCGTCGAGAACGATCACTTTGCGCCATATCACCAATTGTTTCAGCCTTTGGTGTTTACCGTCCAGGGGACCCTAACCAGCCAGGAAGTCTACATCTTCCTACGTCACTGGCTTAAACTAACTGTTATGGATTTCATTGACTAACTGATGAAGCCATGTTTTTGTTTGACCACCACTGACTCTTTTCTAACCTGATCCTGTTTCAGCTAACACTGCCCATTGTCGAGGAAGGCGATGGCTAGGCATACGTAACACATATCTTAACCACTGCTACTGACGCTCAATAGTATCAATCAGCTATACGCTCCTAACAACACAGGGAAACTACCAACAGCTTTAAAGTTTATTTTTATCCGAGTTTCCATTGATAGTTTTGATTGCGTAAGTTGACTGAAACGATATGAAATGTATTACAGAATATTTACGTTACTCTCTAACTCTTATTATCTTTTTTTTTCGCCCATAGTTCTATTTATCCAAAGCAATCAATGTAATCAATCAATATTGTGCACGTCTACCCAGTGATCATATAACTAGTTTAACACCAAAATGGTATTGGAAAGTATTTCCTCAACCAAAAGGTTTTAAACCCTCATCGACTGGACCAGGATCAACGTGTGGTTCAAATAAAGATCTGCAGCCTAATGGGACTTATAATTTATACCAGTGTGTTTTACGCTTACCAATTAATAGTTCAATTAAAGAAACAATAGTCGTAAGTTTACTATTATTATTATTATTACCATTATTGTTATTAATTAAGGCTTTTCAAGACTTGGCTGATGTTGGCTAACAGTCTAATCTGGAATGCATACTTTGTGTTATATCCAGGGTTCGTCAACTGGGTGTATCTGCCTGTTCTAGTTAAGACTTGAACCCTAACCCCAGCATCAGTCGCTTCAAATGCCAAAGTGTTTAAAACTAAGCTATTGGACGACACAAATAATTTAAGCAAATTGTTAGTTGCTTAATTTACGATTGTAGAAATGAATTAAAGCCGAATTATCATCTGAATATTCAATCCAGTGACATTCGGGTTATTTTCTTGACACTCTATTGACCTACAGGGATTCAGATACTATCACGAGTGCCGACATCGGTTAAAGAACCCACTGGAAAGTCAGAGAGCACTGGACAGCTGTTTCGTTAGCCTAGTTTGGAACTCTTCACCAGTACGCTTCCCACCCCGCCGCGGCTCGAATCCAGTACCTTCCGGTTACACAAGTTGGGCTCGTAGACCCGACCTAGCGGTCCATGAATTCCAACTTCTGCCAATTGGCGATGTATATACATTTAACGCTATCCCGCCAGTCAGTGAGTGCGTACTGATGAGAAGTCCCCAGGTCGACGAAACAACTGTCCAGTACTTTACTGGTGGTTTTCCAGTGATACTCTAATTGTTGTCCGCTTTGATCACTCCTGTTAACAATCAAATTATTGTAGACCAACACTTGAAATTCTGTTGTTTTCAGTAATACTGTAACAACAGAAGGCAAGAGTCAGGCAACAGATCGTTTATTAAGGAAATCAACACATATTTATATATATTACATGTACATTATTATAGCTTATTCAAGCAAACAAACACACTCTTCTGATTGGTTGTTTCTCACAGAAAGTTAACCTCGCATCTCTTTGTGACTGTTTCTTGAATGTCAGATCATCTATATGTTAACTCTATCCGCCTACGCAAAGTCTGCTGTGGTTGGTTGTTGAATCAGTGTTTGTTCATATTTTCTCACGATCAATATTTGGGACATAAACATTGATGTAAATTAATGTCTACTAATTTGGCTAGCAGCCTGCTCTCACCACAATACGATTTTGTAACTCAAATAAGTTTGACTGTAAACAAGTGGAATAGCCATTCTGCGCTTAATCACCTTGATTTAGTCATAAAATAGATGCTAACTTTGTCTCTTTTCTTTTTGTTAAGTTTCTAGGTTAATGTGGTGATGTGTTGTGAGGGTGAAATGTTAGACCTTATATCATATTTTTGGATATATATGTATAAGTGTCCATTTTCCTTTCCTATGGTAGGCAATGCTAAACTTTAAGCCAACCAATCAGCGAATGACCTCGAATGCACCAATCACGTGAAGGAGGCATTTTCGTGTATGGAATACATATATATTCATGAAATAATGCATAAAAACTGTAGAAAACTGTTACAGAGGATAATTTACTCTCACATGTGATATAAATAAGGTGGAGTTCAACAATAGCGTCCCAGGTGTGCGAACACTCCAATGACTTTGAACGCATGCTAATCTTTGGCTCCCAGTTTTAAAGTATCAACAGAGTATAATTCGATTGTGGGTAGAAATCTATTTGATAAAGTCTCATAGTGTAATACAGTAATATTTCTTGAGCAATAAATTGTGCTCAAAACGTCGTCATCAGTAAATACTACTGTGTAACACTGTTAGACTTTATCTAAATCAATGCTACCCATAATGGAATTATACTCTGTCACAGTGCACAAGTTCTATTCTAACTGGTGTGTCCTACGTAGATGGGAATAAATATATATTACATCAACAGAATAATTTAACCACATTCAATGCATGCAATTATTTAGGCCTTCTAAACCTAACAATAACCCTAATCTTTCCGTAACCTTCGCGTAACGTGAAAAATATCCCTAAACTAACCGTAATCTAACTCAAACCAACCCTAATATCTCCTTTATTAGGTTAACCTAACCCTAACTTGTCCTTGGCTTCGATGAGCAAGCATATTTTATCGTTGATGACAACATTATTGCTCACTGGTATACGAGGTCGCTAGCCTTGTAACCAAGAGGTCCTGGGTTGGAACGCCGGTGGGTGCGTACTGATGAAGAGTCTCTAAACTAGGACAAAACAGCTGCCCGGTACTCCCAGGTTTCCTAATAGTTCTCTAACTAATGTCAGGTCATGATGCAATCATGTAACCATTCAAATCCCTACAAACCAACATATGAATGTCAATGAGATGCTCACTAGCGACTTGCCTATTCAGGTAGGTGGTTACCCGAAGTACTAGTGACAAGTCGCGACAAGTAGGGTGCAGCAGGTTGGGTGTGAGGCATTGGCTAGGGGTAGCACTATGTCGTGAATTGGCAGAAAGTTGGCCATTGGATCGGGTCCAAGTGGATTAATGGTATACGGACTCGCCTTGTAACCAGAAGGTCCTGGGTTCGAGCCCCGGTAGATGTGTACTGCTGAAGAGTCCCAAACTAGGATGAAACAGTTGTCCAATTCTCCCAGGTTTTCCAATGGTTCTCTAACTAATGTCAGCTAATGATGAAATCCTGTAACCAATCAAATCACTACATACCGACAATGGAACAACATTATTTGCCAGGTTTCACTGACCCGCTCAGTGAGCGTTTCAAGGTCATCATTGGTGCGGTCGCACTCCATTGATAGTTAGTGGTGCTTAAAGTTTAACTTGGCCTTATGATAATTTAGTATTACATAATAATACATGGCTTCTACAATGTACTTTCTTTTATTTTCACGTTCTCCTTCTTTTTTTTTCCTTTCCATATTAAGAGTGAACCAATGGCATGCAAAAAATTAGCTAAATTTTCAGCTGCATTAAACGCAATAAATCTACTTTATATGGCTGGTGAAATGGATACCAAGGTAGAGTTTATTACTACTATTACTACTACTACTAATAATAATAATAGTCGAAGAAATAGTCATCATATGCGTTCGTTGAACAATACTAGTAGTCAAAGTAATCAAAATTCAATGAAATCTGTACAATTATCTATATCAACATCATCGGGTATAAATGACTCGCTTTTAACTGGAGGCGTAGACGGTGATTCAGAAGATTATGGTGATGTTGGATCAAGTTATTATGATTCATCAGCTGATGAAGATATACTGAATTCTTCAAGTATACAAAATTCTGTTAAACGAAGACAATATTATTATCGTAAAGTATGTTCAGTCTCTGTGTGTGTGTTTGTGGGCGTTCTTTTCGTTTGTTTCTCTATATGAATCTGGCACTGGGTTGTGTGTGGGTTTTTAACCAATTAAGTGGAGATTTTAACTTTGACCGACTTATTGGCGGTTGGTGTGTGTGTGTATGTACGTGCGTGCGTGCGTGGTTGAAACCCTGTTGGAGAAAACTGATTCCAGTTGTGTCACCCTTTAAGTTAATTGAAATAGAATGGACAGAGACCAATGTGCCATGGATCGTCTGAGTTTCAACCTACAAGTACAGCAGTTCGGGTTGCTCTACACCACGTATAGCACACTGGTGATTGGGTCCCAGTGGCTGAATGGTATACTACGGGCCAGCCTGCCTTATAACCGGAAGGTCCTGGGTTCGAATCCCAGTGGGTGCGTACTGACGATGATTCTCAAACTAGGATGAAACAGCAGCTGTCCAGTACTCCCTGGTTTTGGTCTACCGAGAGAGAGGGAGAGAGGGCTCTCGAGTGATTGCGCCACAGGATGATCCTGCATGTCGGTCTCGTCTCGCAAGAGGCAGGGATGGGTGTGTTTGGTTCTCTTGAAAACCAATACCCAGTGATTGGGTGTATCACTGTGCGAATGCGTGCGTCTGTTGCACAGTGGTTAGGACGCTCGCCGACCATGCAGATGGTCCAGGGTTCGATACCCGGCCGACGCACTCCTTTACCTCGCCAAGCCAGAAGTAATGCTGGTAAAGAGGAAAGGTTGGGCATGAGGTGGCTAACAACCCTATTCTGTAAAAATAAACACTGCTGCAGAAACTTCAAGCCGCTAGCTTGAAGCCCAATGTTCCACTGGGATATTGAAGGAAAAAAAACTAGTGTAACGATAGAGGAAGAAGAAGACTTGGTAAAAGATTGTTTATTTGCACTTTAATAGCTCTATGTACACCTTATCTTCAACGCACCTTTTTGCACGGATCTTCTAGCCTTTCTTTCATATGGTCTTTGTTTTGTGTTCTTTTCACGTCTCCCATGCTTCTCTGACATGAAATCTATCTCCCTGATGTATTTGATGTTTTTATGCCGATGAGCAATTTTTTATGTATATAAATATATACTACTTATAAATCTTATCAGTAGCACACGTCACACTAAAATACCTCCATTATCAGTGTGACTCTGAAGCTGATTAACTGGATCAGATACATTAACAGGATACTACAAACACAAATACATAATAATAATACCCTTTTTAATTATTCTTTTTCATATAAAATAAGCATACGTTTTTTTCTTGTTCATCTTGTATTTAACGCGTGTTAACGTCGATGTGTTGATACTTTCTTTACACACAGTTCCCTTATCAAATGTCCAATTGTCTTCCTCAACCCGGTGAACCATCACCAAATTACCTGTATTATATTGATGTGCGATTGGTTAATCCATTCCCTGGACAACAAAATAACAGTCAGTGCACACGTCAATATCATCGCCCAGAACAGGAACCAGTAGGATTCGGTATACTAACTACTAAACCAATACATCATGTGAGTTGTTTTTTTTGGTGCAACGATTATTATTACTATTACTGTCGTTATCATGTCTGCAAAGTAAATACTCTGTTTACAGATTTCTCCTACTACTCCACTCGGTCTCAGGTTGACATGTCGGCTCCTTGTGCAGACGATGTGTTTCGATGATATCTGGTTATGTAACTTGAAGTCAGTTGGTTGGTGGTGACTAGCAGTCGAATCCAGGATGCGTACCTCGTCCTATTTGGGGCAGACTCATCCTCTGGATGTGCCTGAATGGTGGTGTTCCCAAAAAGGCTTGAACCCAGTGCCCAAAGTCTCAAAAGCCAAAGCGTTATCCACAAGATCACTTTGGTCACGACAGCCACCGCTTGTGCCACGGTCTTATTAATCATTTAAGTCAGTTCAGAGTGGCGCGGATATAACAAGGATGAAATACGCATTCTGGATTCCACTGCTAGTTACCATCAACCTATCAATGGTAGTATATTTTGTGTGGAAAATGCGGGTCAGCGTAAGAGCCTCAATTCTGTATAGCTTGGTGGAATCCATTACAGTGATGCAGATGGCTTATTATTCTACTTTTTACTCGTATGTTGATGAGAATATTACTTTTATTCTTACATTTAGCGCATGAAGCATTTCGGATTGTTTGCATCTGGCCTTGAGTTCACGGACGGACGTGAGAGTGTATGGGAGGGGGGGGTTAGGCACCACAGTTTATCGTTGGCCTCTCTGAGGAATTGTCCTTTCATGCATGTCTATAGTTAGTTAGCTTATAGAGAGGGAGTCACCAGGAGAGGATCGTCGACATTTAAGACGCTCCTCTGGTTAATTAGAATGTCTCACCTCTGCAACCAATAGTTATACGCTACCTGCAAAGAGGTGTTTACCTTTAGACGCTTTTCTGAAATCACAGTCGTTCAAAGAATGTATACAACACATCTTAACACTTTAATTTAAACGTATTTATTTTTAATGCTGAAAGAGTATACATGTGGAAGATGACTGTTTAAGGTTTTATGCGAGTTCTCCACTTCTCCACTGCTGCTTAGACTGCTGCGAGACTCGATGCAGTATTCCATCTGATGAAAGAGACAATTACTACATTTTGAAGAGTCCACCTGACATTGACCTAAAGCCATTCATTAGGCAATACGACACATTAAGAGTGCTCTCAGTGTTATGTAGAATCCGCTGGCTGACTGAAATTAACCGACATGTGTTTGTAGGCTATTCTAAATACATTGGAATAAATATGTCCAAATAAATAATTTGCTCATAACCCTGTTTCTTTTGAGTGACTTAGCTACATGTCGTTTAAATTCAGTTATACTGACTATTCTGTCATATGATTCGTGTGTGATTTCTGTCCGATAAACATCTAAACCTTGTTTGGTTGTCAGTTAAGCCAGCCCTGTATAAAGACGAGACGTTAGACATATGAGGCTGGGATTCTCACATTGTAAAATAAAGCCACACTGTCTACCTCTACTAAGACTTCAAAGTTCAAGGCCTACAGTCCACTCGGAACGCGATTGGAATTTTTATTGAATATTTTTTTTATACTTGGATGACAGCTACTAACTAATTGGGTCAGACTAGATCAGAATGTACACTATTTGTGGTAAACTAAAATAATTTGTCTACCAACAGAAATACCTTTCTTGTGTCATAGCTTAAATCTCACAAAAAGTTTATGTGAGGAACATTATAATTGTAACTCTTTTAAGGCTTTTTACTGTCTCTATAGTTGTCAGACGTGAACAACTGGTCCAACCGACATATCTCTTTGAATAATACGAATATAATGTAAAGACTATCATCACTAGGTCAAAGTAGGCCGCTGTCACTATGGTATGAAGCTATTTTGCTTATCGAACTGTTGAACTTATCGAGTTACAAAGGTAGGAGAATTGTTATTGCACAAAGAGCTCTGTCTAAATATCTGTGAAAATAAAACAGTCTGGAAACAAACTACAGAGAGGATTCATTGATTGAGTGAGGGTGTTAGGAAAAGAATCTTTAACTTTCGATGAATGTCCCACTCTTGGCGTTATTGCTAAAAGTTTTTTCTATTCTTCACAGTGACTTTTTATGCTGTTGTAACAAGTTAAGGAATAAATTTTTTGTGTTTTTATGAGTTCAGGACATTATTTGACGCTCATCACACTTGAAAACTACCTAAGGAAACTATACACAAGACCACCTGCCTAATTTGTATCAGTTTCTTCAAAATATCCCTTCGTGTAAAAGGTGATCCCTCTCTTATCTAAATCTCAATGAACCTTTTATGAAATGATTGATTGGCTGGGTTCAAAGCATAGAACTTTGCACAGATGTGCTCCAAGTTCCAGTTGCCAGACTTCCTCTCTCCATGTAGCACACAAAGCAAGAGCAGAGAATAAACAGAGATTCAAAACAGAGAGAGGTGATAAACAGAAGTGTGAGGGAAAAACAATAGTAATATGGGAGAACAATAGCGGAGTTTTATTGGACATCACAAATCACAAAAAGCGAATGCATCTACACTGTCATTGAGAACCATTTTGTGCCTTATAACCAATGGTCTTCAGTCGTCATTGATTCTTACCATTCCGAGGACACCAACGAGCCAGCTAGTTAGGCAGTCTACACCTACCTCCCTACGTGGATGGAAGACTGGCTGGTTCAAACTAACTGTGATAGGTTTGATTGACTGAGAAAGCCATGTTTTTGTTCTACAACCACTGGCTAATTTCTTTCCAATTGATCCATCTTGTCAGTCAGATACCATTGACCGTCGAGGAGACCCATGGGTAGACTAATCATGTGTGTAACACATCTCCTAACCATCTCTGTCAATCCATGTAACTTCACAACCTCTTCGACTTATTTTCCCTCCTTACCTCACACTCGACCGAAGTCTAACCTCAATATTATTCACACACCCTGTTATACCAGAACTTGGCACGCGGAGAGATAGAAAGCAGACGCTTATGATGAAAGGCAGCTTGCTACGCTCATCATGTCTTTCACTCTCAATGACCGTGTCTCACTCACAGCCAGTGGTGAAGGAAGACGGATCGAAGTGACTGCTGAGCAGTAAACAAATCCTTTGTTCGACAGCCAGTCACCCAGCCGAATAACACGTCTACTTAGCCAGAGATGGCGTGAGTTGTTGTCAAATGACAAACGAACCTTTTTGTATTCGGGTTGAGATTTTGTAAGCTATCAACTCACTGGTGGGCTGATGAGACTTCCCAAGTAATAAGTGGAGTGGTCAGCACGTTCCATCAACCACTTCACCCTGACTATCTTGAAGCTAGGAGTGAGTCGATGTAATCCAGTCCGGTCCTATCCTGGAGTATCATCTTACGTTTGACAGCCGGAGTGAATCGCACGGCCAAACATTCGAAGATTACTGCTTCTCAAGGTGTGTTCAGAAGACTTCTTTTGAAGTATCTTTAGTTGTGTGTATAAAACTGACTTCTTATGTAATAATTTCAGTCCTTTGTTATTTTAGAACCGTCTCTTTCATTCATCCATTCCATTTGAACTTTTTTTGCTCTAAAATCATCATCACTACGCCTCCACTTACAACACGAAAACAAACATTAACAATATAGAATGTGTGTGATCTTTTTGATTGTAAAATTTCAGGAACGAAGTGTCTGAAAAGATTACCACTCTCAGAGACTCTTCAGGCCGACGGGGGGGGGCTTTCTGTACTAATTTAAATTTTTATTGCACATCTTGATTGATAAACTTAGTTTTTCTGTCTTGTCTGTCAGATAGTGTCTGTTCTGCGTGATGCTGTTGTCTCAATCCTTGTCTGGGAAAAGTAGACAGCAGGAAAACACCACAGTTATTTTTTTTCGTTTTTTTGCGTAGGTGTATTCATTCACTTGCCCATGTTACCCTAAACACCATGCTAAATTACATTAATACATAGACGAAGTTTTAATCAACGAATGTAACTCACGGTTGATGAGATGAATGAACGTAAAGGACATGTATCCAAATACTAGTTCACTCATAATCTTATATCTTACCAACATGCCGATTACTTCTAGTCGATCAGATGATCGTAATGTTTCAACATCCAGTGGGGTGGGGGGTGGGGAGAGAATCACTTTCGATCAAACTTAAACATGGTACCAATTCATAAAGTCTACAATTTATTTGATTGGACTCTTCACATAATTCGTAGGAGAGAATTTTACTCAAGACCGGTTAGTTTTGTAACTACACAAATGTATTCACAAGTATTGGTGTGTAGGGATTTTTTTGATTGGTTGGAGGATTTCATTCATGAGCTGACATCATCAGTTAGAGAACCATTGGAAAACCAACTGGGAGTACTGGACAGCTGTTTCGTTAGCCTAGTTTTTGACTCCTCATCAGTACGCACCCACCGCGCTACCCGTCGTTGCCTTTTCGTAGTCTCCGCTTACGCCCCAACAGACTTCAGTTCAGATGAGCTGAAAGATGACTTCTTCCTGAAACTGTCTAAAATTTGCTGCAAAAAAGCAAAACGTTCAGATATAGTTGTTTTAGCAGGCGACTTCAATACTCAAGTAGGGAAGTTGTGCCAGACTGAGAAGTATGTAGGTGGTACGTATGGAGTTCCCTGCCGACGAACCGACAACGGTGATCGTCTGCTACAGTTTTGCTCAGATAATCATCTGTTCCTAGTCAGCACTAACTTTAGGCACAAAAAGAGACATTGTGTAGCCTGGTGACTTCCATCACTAAATCAACGCTGGACTCAGATAGACCACATAGCCATAGGGTATCGTTGGTAAGGGTCAGTAGAAGACTGTCGATCCTTCTGGAACACGTCGGTAGACTCTGATCACGCTCTGGTTCGTGCACGTTTATGCTTATGACTAAATGGACATAAGAAATTGACGGCAGCGAAACAGTTATGGGACGGTAAAAACCAATGAAAACTGGAAACTATTGGTGACATGGCTCAAAATCCTCGTTCTCAATGGCTGGTGCAGATGCATCCACTCCTTGTGACTTATGATTTCCAATGAAACTGTTTTGTTCTTCGTTATTCCTATTCCTTTGTCTCACACCTCTGTTTACTGTCTCTATTATGCGTTTCTTCTACTTTCTTCTGTTGCTTTGTGTGCTACATGGAGTGTGACGACTTGAACAGCCGCATATACGTGCAAAGTTCTATGTTGAAAACAGATAAACCGCCATGGTTCGAACCCAGGACCTTTTGGTTACAAGGCGAGTTCGTAAACCATTAAGCCCCTGGGACCTGATGCATTCGTTCTTCACTTTGTTCAGCACCTGGCTACTGTTATCGTATTTACTTATTTGACTGGATGGTAACAGTTACAATTAGTAACTTCGTTGGAACTTCACACTAGGGTCCTATGCATATAGTCATTGTTGTTATTATTATAATTCTCTCTTTGCTTTTCGAGTGGAACATTTTTTACTTTGCATTCGATTCTCTGTAATCCCTTTCACTTGGTTAATGACTGCCAAAAGTCTTTCGTTTTTCTTCGTATTCATGTGATATTCTCCGTGTCATAATCTGAGCCACTCCAAACTGATCGCTTTCTATCCGAATCCCATTCAATGGTCTGGCTTGTGAGATGCCACATGAGGGCCCCCCTCCATTTCTTCCAGTATATTTGTTGGATAGTAGGTTTTTGGCTGGGTTCCCCCCTATTTAAGATCCTTTTTGCAGATATCTATATTATCTTATTGCTTTAATTTCCAAATGGAACATAGCGGGGCTTCAAGCTAGAGCTTTGAAGTTTCCATAGCAGTGATTCCTCTTTTTACAGATTGGGGGCTGCTAGCCTCACGTTCAACCTAGCCTCTTTACGGGGTTACCACTGGTTGAGCGAGGTTTAGGAGTGAGACGGCCGAGAGTCGATCCCGGATCACGTGAGGCGTGGTTAAACGAGCATTCCGCTGCTAAACTACCGATACTGGTGATATATATATATATATATATATATAAAGCATCATTTGCAACAGGGTTATTCAACCATATTTGATATTTCTTTGTATATTGCGAATACTAGGAATGACCTAATTAGTCTCATAGGGACTGAAGCAAAGCAAGAACAATAAATCTGTTACTGTCAGCTTTCAAGTCCCCCTACTGCCTTCCCTGTAGCGAATATATTCAGCATAGCTGGCTTGCTGGTGGTCTGGAGGATATACTTTATGCTCATATACTCGTAACTACTATAACCTCTCCGTAAGACTCCTACTATCCAAATAGTCTTTGTAGTGTGGTTGCGACCTGTAAGAATAGCGAGTGTAGCGCATTGTGTCTGTCAATGCGATGTCCAAACTCGACCACCACGTCAAGTTAAGAGCTATTGCTCAGGATTTTGATTGTAAACAAATGTCGTTAGTCAGATTCAAAGTCGGTACAAAATATTTATTGATTTTATTTTATGTCTTTACGTTCCAAACGAAACGTGGAGCGTCGACTAAGTTAAACTTTAAGCACTAGTAAGTATCAAAGGAGTGTGACCGTAGACCAATGACCTTGAAATGCTCAGTGAACATGTTAGTGAAACCTGAAAATAATATTGTGATGATGAATAAAATATGCCCAATGAAGTGTTGTCACGTTACTAGATAAGTTTTCGGTTAGGTTTCGGGCTAATTAATCTAACCCTAACCTGTTATAACCTAATAAGGGCGATATTAGGTTTAGTTCGAACTAGATTAGGGCCGCTTTAAGAATATTTTCGCATTAGGCTTAGAATACCTAGATAACGTGCATATAGTTCGGTAAAACTGCTCTTTTAAAACTCCAATGCAAAAGTGAGAGGCATTTTTTAGCACGTCAGAAAAAGGTGACATGTGTAACAGTTTCATGCATTTCAATTCATTATTTTCATGTGTGTGTGTATTTTCTAAGCGAAAAACTCCTTTATCATGTGATTGATGCGTTCAAGGTCAATTATCCACTGGCACTTATTGGAGTGTTTCAAGTTTAACTTCATGGAGCTTCGACTTGGAGCTTGAAAGTTTCAGTAGAAGTTAGTGTTTAGTTATTACGGGGTAGGGTTACTAGGCTCTCACCTTACCTCCCCTCTTTGCTGACCTTACAACCGGCTAGTGGGAGGTTAAAGTTTGCTTCGGCTGGAGATCAAAACCCTGGACCACTTAAGGCATCGTTGTCTAGCGTTCTACTGCTGAACCACTGGCGCAGACTACTAGACTGAGTTTTAATCAGTCGTGAATTTTGAATTAACATAGTCCAGTCATATTGTAGCTGTAGGAGACGAAAAATTGTAAAGGAATGTTTATGTGTGATTTGGGATCTGTAGATAGAGGAATTTAGCGTCGGTGGCACAACGGTAGAATGCCAGCCGACCACGCATGTGGTCTGGGATTCGATCCTCGACCGGCGCACTCCCTTAACTCGCTAAGCCAGTGACAAGGTTGGTAAAGAGGGAGGGTTGGTGATGAGGTGGCTAACAACCCCATCCCTTAAAAATAAACTCCACCGCTACCGAAGCCATAAGCTTGAAGCCCTAAATTTCACTGGGAATGTAAAGGAATATATATAAATATAGCGAAATTATACACACCTTATCTTCAACGCACCATTAGCACGGATCTTATGTGTTGTGCTACTTCTGGCCTTCCTTCATATTGTGCGTGTTTCTTTGTGTTCCTTTCACGTTGTCTCCCATGTATCTCCGCAAAGCTGTATCATTTGCATTCTCTGACATAAAATCTATCTCGCTGCTAGTTGACGATTTATGCCGATGGACATTTCTTTATATATAACATATATACTACTAATAAATCTTATCAGTAGCACACACATTAGAACATCTTTTGTATAATGATTTGTTGTTTTACTTCATATATATACCATCAGCTTTGTTCATGTATCTCGACCCTTAAATTGGTTAATACTACTAATACACTGATGATCTTACTATATTTTATTTTCTTCACAATAGATTCCTATATTTCCAATATTCAGTAGATCCGGTGAAGAAAGAATCCGCTTTATTGAATTATGGTCACCAAAATCACAATATCAACTTGACGATGCATATTTACCTATTCAAAGTCCGAGTCTAACTGAAGAACAAATTGACCAACTGATTAAATTTCATCGTGTATTATTCCAGGTAAGAAGAATGAAAATTTTTCTGTTTTTTTTTATAACTTGAAGTAACAGAGTAATAAAATACCTTGTTGACTCAGCGATTTGTCATTTAGGAGAAAACTGACTGTTACTCACCCACACTTCATAGTACATTATCACACTTTACATTTTATAACTGACCCTTCAAATACACAATACTGATTACTGAGAAGATAGACACTGCCTCATAAGGCAAAATTTATTCCTCCATGATAGAGGTTTATGACCCGAAACTGTCTGTCTGTCTGCCTGTTTTCGACATAAAACTTTGTACCGATGTGCGGGCAGTTCAAGTCGCCACACTCCATGTAGCATGTCCGATTTGGCAAATGGTCCTGACGTTAAATGCTCATATATGAAGTTGGCGACGTGGCTTTATAAAAGGCAATCTCAGGGGGGGGGTTCTGTGCCTCTCACCGTTGTTTGTGGTCACAGAGTGAAGTGAAGGTGACTTACTAGCCTGCAGAATAGTACTGACTGTAGTAGAGAAGCAAGATGAGGAAGGTGATGTGAGTAAAGGAGAATGATGCTCGCTCAGGAAGGCATCGTGTGCTTTTGGAAGTGTGTGAGTGGTTGTTACTTCCTGGCTGCCCGCACCATTGAAGTTGATTGATTCTTCGGATACCTGAAACAGATAGAGGGTTAGTGTTGCGTGACCGCAGAGCCTAGGGGACAACTGCTTGAGACTGGCTGGTCACACACAGCCTGTATGAACGGCTACGGACCACCGTAGTGTAAGTCGGGATGTACAATTTTTGCTGTCGACGTTTTCTAACTCCCTCTCTCCAGAGTGGAGAGACAGTATAACTGGCTGGCATGCTGGTCATCTGAGGGAAACACCTTACTGCTGTTATATCCCTGTTCTCCGACAGTACGACTTCGCTCTCAGACCCCAGCATAGTGTAACAAAATTCTAACACTATGCTGGTAGCTGCTTTTAGTCTAATCGCTATCCTAACAGCCTTCCTAGCATGGTAGGACCTGCAGGAACATTGGTTCCAGCCAGTGTAGCTTGTTGGGTTATCGCGATATGCAAGCCCGACTACCACGTCAAGGTTAGCAGCTATCGGTCGGGTGACCCGAAACTTGGTGAAATATGGAATCAAGGGATACGTCACACAAAATCTCATCATTTAGTCGAGGGCTGGGATACTACTGGCATCACACCTGAACCGAAGCAGCTGGTTGTCATAGGGGGCCAGTGTAGCTGTGCCTTCCAAATGTCGCTAGTAACCAAAGCATGTTCATTCACCGTTCGATCTGTTCGGATACTGCAGACCATGCACTCTATAGATTTGGAATCAGGGTTTCACAGTTCCCCCAAGTAGACTAGCTTCTCCACCAATCCAGTTGTAAGCATCAGACGTTAGGAAATACCGCTGCCAAGTGGAGGCATGCAAAGGCTATGAACTAACTCGTGGTGACATGAGAGCGTATCGAAAGGAAAACACTCGGCCGTGCCACGTCATTTAGGGAGGCAAGAAATGATACCTATCTTTATAATACATGGTTGTTTTACATGAAAAACTCACAAGTTTTAGGTTATAGAAACAGTGGTCTGATTGGTCAACAGTGCATACCAAATGGAATTGAAGACACAACCTTTGATCAATCCACAGTTGACATAGAAAACACAGCTACTGTAATACATCTGTTGTCTGTCTTGATAGGAAGAGATAGATATCTTAATTACATATGGTAAACATGTTGAATTTTGGTTTACTTATCCTGCGGTCCACTGTTAACAGCTAAGTTTTAACAGATATTTCTTTAGAGAATCACACACACACACACACTGTACTCGTTGTTTGGATGATATTTATGTAGACGGAGACATTGAAGTTTGTCATTCTGATTGCGGTTAGGTGTTTTTCAGTCTAACTTCCTTAACAAAGAAGTCGTGACCAATAGGGTGCAACAGGTCGGGTGTGGAGACAAATACTCTTTGAAGACATTAGCTAGGGGTTGCGCTATGTCGTGAATTGGCAGAAGTTAGAATTTATGGGCTGGCTATTGGATCGGGTCCTAGTGGCTAAATGGTCTACGAGCTGGCTGGCCTTGTGTAACCAGAAGGTCCTGGGTTCGAACCCCGGTGATGTGGGTGCGTACTGCTGAAGAGTCTCAAACTAGGACTGTCCAGAACACCCAGCTGGTTTTCCAATAGTTCTCTAACTAATGTCAGCTCATGATGAAATCCTGTAACCAATCAATCAAATCCCTGCAAACCAACACTTGAATATACCCTTAACTGTTGTATATCATCTTGCAGTAACGTAGTATTAATACATATATATGCTGATAGGAACACTAATTCATTCTTTGACCATCAAAATCGGAACCTTGCTAAACCAGTCGGTACTAATCCTAGTGAAGAGTGAAGGTTGGTCATGAGGCTAGCAACCCCACCCTGTAAAACAAAATAAAGCCACTGTTGTGGGCGTAGACGTGATATCCGGGTATCGACCACAGGGCGGGTGTACTGCTCATCACTACGCTCCGTCCTCCTTTATCGCTAGCTGTGAGACCTGGCCATTGAGAGTGGAAGACATGAAAAGACCGGCTAGGTAGCTGTCTTTGATCGTTGCATTCTATCTCCCGTGTGAAATGGTATAATAGAGTGACCAATATTGAGGTGAGGTGTCGAGTCCTAGGTAGGTAGGTGGGAGGGGAAATCAATTGATGAGGCCGTGAAATTACATCGACTGAGATGGTTAGGATATACATTACCTATGTCTAGTCATCGTCTTCCTCGACAACGGGCAATGTTAGCTGACATAGGGTCAGGCTGGAAAAGAGCTAGTGGCGGTCAAACCAAAACATGGCGACACCAGTCAATGAAATCTACAACAGTTAGTTTAAGCCAGCCACGTGGGAAGGTGTGGACTTTCTGACTGGTTGGGGTTCTCCAGACGGTAAAAACCAATGGTTGGAGACAATTGGTGGCATGGCTCAAAATCGTTCTCAATGGCTGGTGCAGATGCATCCACTCCCTGTGACTTATGATTTCCAATGAAACGATATTGTTCTTCGTTATTCCTATTTCTTTGTCTCACACCTCTGTTTACTGTCTCTATTATGCGTTTCTTCTACTTTCTTCTGTTGCTTTGTGTGCTACATGGAGGAAGTGTGGCGATTTGAACAGCCGCACATATGTGCAAAGTTCTATGTCAAAAACAGACAGACTGTTGCCGAAACTTCAGAGCTGATGCTTGAGGTTCTATGTCTCACTGGGAACGTAAAGGAATAGTTAGTGATGTACATGTCATCTACCACAATATCCAAAAGACATTGCTTTACTGTGTCAAAGTTAACATACAGGCTAACCAAGTTTGACTTCATCAGTTAGTCATTACTGTTCGTAAGTATGCTGCATCCTACTCATCATCGAAATTCAGATTAATTCTGAAGTATTAACAATAACGTGTAGACTCAATTTTTCCCGTCACAAATGAACTGTGTTAGAAGTAGTCGTGAACTTTTGATATTTTTTTTTTAAATATTATAGCTGAACGAGGGATTAAATGTCTAGTCGCATTATGTAATGCAGGGTGGTGATATACACAAATCTGAGTCATCAGCTGTCTGTTATAATGTTATTTGGACTACCAAAAGTGTTGAGTTTACACCAACGCTTTGGTTGGTTCGTTGGTGGTCATCGTTTTGCTGTATACTCCCCCTTTGAGGCTTGGTCCTTCTCTCGTACTGTCCATAGATTTACTGACTTTTAACTTTTGTCTCGTAAATTTCATAAATTTCAAATATCATCACATTACTCCGCTTTCTGGTTGACTGACTGACTAATAGAGTTTCCAAAGTAAAACGTTTTGCAGGGAATCGCAGCATTTCCAGTGGGTACACTCCATATACACCAATCAAAGGTAGAGAAACAGTTCAAAGGAACTACAATCGACGGAGATGTACGGAAGAAAGGGTGATCATAGGGAGAATAATGAGAATTTGCTAGATCTACGCCATTGACGCTGATTTCGAGTCATATAACCAACATGTCAAGTGACCTTGAACCAGCTAATCAGACATGTCAACACTACAAATGTATGCTTTTAATGATCTTCGTTTCATCCTAATTCCGGGTTAAGATTAGGGTAGGATTGAGGTAGGCTTGTGATTATTGATTAGGGTGAAACTTACAACGAAGATTATGAAAAGTATCGATTTGTAATTCTGAGCAATCTGATTGGTCGGTTCAAGGTCACTTGGTTGTGATGTCTATTCTCTACTGTGTTGCTACATAATCTTTAGTCATACTCTATAAAATGGATTCAGATCGTTTGTATTCATCCATGTTTCATTTCTGTTTATTTTTTTTTAATTTTGAAGGAAGTTCTACGCTTTGAAAAGGATTCTGTCCTTGAGTTTAATTTTGAAAAAGCTTATTCACAAATTCTGGTAGTACCAACTAGACGAGGTATGTACAGCTATTTTAATACTGTTTTTCTGGGTTTTGAATAGTAGCGCTTTTTTATCGTAATAAGCCAACATCGATTAATCAAAGTAATAATAATGCGTCGGGCTGTGGGGAATGAGAGAAGCCAGAAATACGTTGGACCACCGATAAAAAAAGACTCCAGAAGGACTAGATTTCGCAAATGATATATGTGTTTAATGTCACACAAACTCGAAGACTTGCAGGCAAAACTAACAAACTGTCAGAAGACTCTGACAGTGAAGACAGTAGTACTCCAGGTGAACATAGAGAAGACGGAGGTGTGAAGATAAACCAACCAAGAACAACAACAACAGCAACAACCAGGACTAATCACCATCAATGGGAGAGATTCAACAGAGGTTACTTCATTCACTTATCTAGGAAACACGGTTTCAACCACAGACAATCGGAACGGACGCAGATGTCAAAACCAACCAGCTAGAATCGGGGAGGGGGGGGGCTGAATAACTTCTTCATCAACTTAAAACCAGTCTAGAAATCTTTTGCACTGAGTCAGCATAAAGAAGAAGATTTTGAATTCTAACACAAATGGTAAGCTAGCCAGCTACCTCTATATGGGTCAAAAACTTGCAATGCATATCACGAAAAGCTTTTCAAATAGGCTACTGCGGATATTTAGCAACAGCTACTTTCGACGACTTCATATTGAAGATCAAATGGCTAGTCAGAAACAATGAGTAATGAGAAACTGTGGCAATGAAGGAGCCAAAAGGCGGGAACCTATTGCTCAATATATATATATATATGTATATAAGAAAACAGAGTTGGATCGGACACCATTGCCACATCGGGCGCCAGAAAATCCCCTGAGTAGAAATCCCAATGGGAAGCGACGAGTAGTGGGTCGTTATTGTGAGAGGGCGACATGGAGAAGATTATTTGGGGAGTAGGATATGAGAGGTTATGGGCAATCGTGGACCCAGCCAGCTAAAGAGGACAGCACGAAAAATAAAACAAAGTAGAGATGTGTTGTTGAAGCCCTATGTTCCACTCGGAATCCAAGGGAAAATTAAAAATACACAACTATTTCTTTGTTCTAATCTGAGGCTTTTTAACACTATGTAACCTGTAACTTCATATGGGATCGACTGAGTTTTTGTTACCTTTCAGGTAATTGTGATTATACTCAGCATTTAATGATATCATATGTGGCTTTCAGAGCTTCTAGTTAACCAAAATGTAGCGACAGAATTTGTTAATGCAAAGTTCTAAAGAATCCTGAATTTTAGAATTTAATTGGTGGATGGTGACTAGCGGTAGTGGAATCCAGGATAAAGCGTATTTCGTCCTATTTGGGGCTGACTCGTCACACCTGGATGTGCCTGCATTCCCCAGCCAGGGAGTGATGATGTTCCCACCACCGGGGCTCGAACCCAGTACCTATAGTTTCAAACACCAAAGCGTTATACACTATAGACCACTTGGGCCACGGGAGCCACTGCCTCTTGTGCTGTGCCAACGGGTTATATTAATTATTTAATTGAATCAATCGACAGGAAAATCTAAAATTCAATTAAATAATCCTGAATTTTATTCAGTTTAAAGACTTTTGATGTTCAACGGTCCTCTAGATAGATGATGGCGGCTGATGAAATGACATTACATGTCGAATGTTGTAATACCAGTTAATAACTGGTGTACCACCCAATATGCATATACATGTATACTATATTATTATTATTATTAATATCAGTCTGTCAGACAAAATATATCTCAGATAGTTTCGTCATGCTGTATTAAGATTAGGATTGGGGTGAGAAGACCTACGTCGACGTTGGGTAATTGTTAACAATGTCCAGAGAATCCTGATCCAACTAAACATGTCTGAAGATTGTAGCTGACGCGATACCCAGTAGTGCTGTAGTCAGAAACTTTACCACTGAGCGACTCGGGTTCACGAATGGCTTACTATAAGATTGTAATGTATACATTCATTGGTCAGTGTGATCATTATGATCATGGTGTACTTTGAACCAGTGTCAAGTGTTGGTGTTGGTGGTGGTGGTTGGTAGCAATCATCAGGAAGTCCTGAGCTCTAGGGACTTGTGCTTTTTGACACTCCTATGAAAGATGTATCATTGTAACCTGCTAGGAAGTTTGTGTGTTTTGGTAGTTGTGTGGGTGTTGGCGGAGGAGTGGCGGATGGGATTTCCAACCGTATAATGAAAGCTAGGGTGGCATACATCAACTTCAGCCACCTATGGCGCCGTCGCGATGTTAGCCAGGCTGTCAAAAGTCAGGACGGGCTGTCCTGCTCTACGCCTGTGAAACCTGGCCTCTCCCAGTAGGCTGAGGATGTGAGGCGGCACTCTGCGTGTCCGACCATCGCTGTCTCCTCAGGATTGTTTGCGTTCGATGGATGGTATCATCGCGTGAGTAATTGTGAGGTTCGGTGGCGTGTATTTGAACACAGTGAAGATCACCATTCATTGAGTGTCGTCATCTGGAAACACCGGCTCCGGTGGCTTGGACATGTGCTACGAATGTCATTCCAGAGGCTTCCGTACAAGTCTCTGTTCGCTAGCCAGCCCTGGGACGGGATGGAAAAGGCGGAGAGGTGATCAGTCCATGACGTGGCGTCGTGAGATGAAGGATGTTTGTGCTAGATTAGCATCGGTTGGTGTGTCACGACTCCCTGGGTGGGGTCCGCGATATAGCTCGAATCGATGGCTCGAATCGTTATCGGATATGGCCAAGAACCGTAATCAATGGCGAACGTGTTGCAATTTCCTTCTTTCTTCCCTTCCCGATGGTAGTTAACGAGTACTGTTTGAACCTGTTAAGTATGAATGTTTTCCTTCCAGATGAAATTCTTAATCCGTTTTCTACATATATATTTATATATATATATTTCTCTTCTTTCTTTTTATCTATGTTGCTTTATTATTATTGTGTGGCGCATCCTTCTTGGTGCCTTGTTGTGCCAAGCTTTTATGCGTTTAAATAAATAAATAAAAGACTACTTAATCATAAGCACAACCTCTTGTCTTTGGCGACTAAGTGAAAGTCCTGTAAGCCACTATTTCATATCCTGACGCTATTCATGTTTATTCAACATATTCATTTAATTAAAGAGAACTAAATAACAACTTTCATAAGGGAAAACAAACTAGTGGCTGAATGGTCTACGGGCTTGACTTGTAACCGTAAAGTCCTGGGTTCGAACCCTAATAGCATGGGTGTGTACTGATGATGAGTCCCAAACTAGGCTAACGAAACAACTGCCCACTAGTTGAGTGCTGGTTTTCTCAATATTTCTCCAACTGATATTGATGCGTGATTAAACAAACCAAATCTTGAGCAATAATGTGGAGCTCGCTATTGACTGACTGCAAGAGGAAGTTCCCTGAAGTTCTAGTGAGAATTTGTGACTAGTGATATCCACCTGGTCGGGAGTGCGGACAAATACACTCCAAGGATGACACTGACTGGAGCCAGTCGTACTAACATCACGAATCGGTAGGAGTTAGAATTCGTGCGTCGGCCATTTAATTAGTTCCTATTCGCTGAATGGTCTACGGGCTTTCCTTGTAACTGAAAGGTTATGGGTTCCGACCCTGGCTGTGAGTTCGAAATAGCTGTTCAGTACTCGGGTGCTGGTTTTCAATGGTTGTCTAACTGACATCAATCAGTGGTCCAACTTGAAAGAAAAAAAGAAACTGGAAGCTTGTCCAATTGTGGTAATGTTGCACGGTCAAAGAAGATCCGAAGGTTAAGCGAAACTTCTCATAGAATACTTAAGACTCAAGTGTGTTCCTACTTTGATTACAATTGTTTCTGATGTTTCAAGAAAAAGTACAAAGACGAGTGTGTGCGTCATTCGGTTATGGTTCCTCAGATGAATCGTTATCAAGACTGTTTCTGTATGCGCCGTTTCTTCTCTGAATATTAGCAAGGTGTACACTTCCACTTTTCAAGTTTTGGTTTGTAGGGATTTGATTGTTTGCAGGATTTCATCATGAGCTGACATTGGTTAGAAAACCATTGGAAAACCACCACTGGAGTAACGGACAGCTGTTTTGTCCCAGTCCGGGACTCTTCATCAGTAGGGACCCCACCGGGGTTCGAACCTAGGACCTTCTGGTTACAAGGCGAACCAGCCCGTAGACCATTAAGCTACTGGGACCCGACTCCTCAATTGTCGACCCATGAATTCTAAACTCTGCCAATTCACGACATAGCGCGACCCCTAGCCAATGTCTTCGGTGAGTATTTGTCCTCACACCCGATGGCTCTGTAACTGATGTCAGCTCATCATGAAATCCTGTAACCAATCAAATCCTCACAAACCAATACTTGAATATCAATGAGATGCTCACTAGCGACTGGCCCTATTCACGTAGGTAGTTATCTGAAGCCCTAGTGACATGTCGTGACTAGTAGGGTGCAGCAGGTCGGGTGTGAGGACAAATACTCACCGAAGACATTGGCTAGCGGTTGCACTATGTCGTGAATTGGCAGAAGTTAGAATTCATGGGTTGGTCATTGGATCGGTTCCCAGTGGCTTTTAATGGTCTACGAGCTGGCTCGCCTTGTAACTAGGAGGTCCTGAGTTCGAACCCTATTGGTGAGTGTGTACTGATGAAGAGTCCCACACTAGGATGAAACAGCTGTCCGCTACTCCAGTGGTGGTTTTCCAATGGTTCTCTAACCAAATTCATCTATTGATGAAATCCTCTAAATTCCATTTTTGTTGTTTTTCTTGTTGTTGAAATTATGGCTCTCTTTTTAAAAATTAATTTATCTTTTATTTGTTTTAGATACTTGCTCAATTGATTGGGATTTCGTTAACTTAGTCTTAACATCTTTTTGTGAAAAATCCATCGGTCGATTACTTCCACGTAGGCTGACTGAAGTATCACCAGAGAAATGGAAAGAACAAATTGATCAAATTAAATTACAAGCTGGTGTTTCAAACTCCTGTGGTAAATCATCTTTCGGTGTTACTGGTGCTGCTGCTGCTCATCATCATCATCATCCAAATCGAATACGCCCTGGTAGTATTACTTCATCGCTGACGATGAATCGTTTCCAAAGATCTAGTCTTGTTGACCATCGATTAAATAATAAATCTGGTACCTTTGAATTTCGTGAAGAGGATTTTATTAATGCTGTTGTTACACCGGGTTATCGTAATTTAGATCAACCACAGTATTATTATGTTGAAGCTATTAAGTAAGTCTCTCCCTCTCTGTGTGTGTATGTGTGTGTTTCTGTGTGTTGGAGAGGATGAGTGAGAGTTCTTTGTGATGATAACCCCAAAAGTAGTTACCAACCATTGAAGTTGTGGTCAAAGTGAACTTGTCCCACCGAGTATGCTTCAGTCTTATGCACTGTGAAGACAAAACACGTAGTTCAGCAAAGAGGCACTCTTTTCCACGGCGAATTCATTTTCCCTGTTCAGCACTGTATGATCGCATTTATATACAATTTCCTTTTGAACGACTGGTAGACTGCTTAAAACTTGGGCTGCCAAAAAAACTTCCGTCTCTCTCTCTCTCCCTATTTCATATATTTTCTCTCCTTCGGCTTGTTCTATTGGATTAAGATATAACCCCACTAATAGTATTATCTACTCTTGTGTGTGTATTTAAAATGTTTACAAGCTCCCTGATTCGCAAGTTCTTACTAAACTTGAGGAATGGTCTGATTGTGCGTGGCAGGCAACGTATCCCAATACATGAGAGAACTGTTCTTCAATTATGTCCTTGGCTCTCAGGATGTACTTCTGAACATCTTACAATCTTACATCTTTCAACTAGATATCGTGGATTTCTTGAAGGAGACAAAGCAGATATATGACGTAATGATATGGTTTGTGCTTCAGCTGCTCAGACAGCATTGTGTGTCATAGGATATATTGTCGTCAGTTAATATTTTACTTGAAGGTATCATGTAATAAATATTATTATTATCATATATTATTATTGCTCCCTTGGGTTCCTAGTGGAACATAGGGCTTCAACTGCACGTCTCCATTTTCTCCTGTCTTCTGCTGTACTTTTCGCCTGCATCCATGTTAATCCATATTCTTTCAACTCCTCTCTCTTCACACGATCTCCTCCATGTCACCCTTGGACGTCCCACGCGCCGCTTCCCTTTCGGGTTCCACTCGAGGGCTTGACGCGCGATGTCACCCAGTGGTCTCCTCAGCGAGTGTCCGATCCATCTTCACTTTCTCCTGCATATTTGTTGGGCGATTGGTTCTTGGTTTATTGTTCCCATAACTCCTTGTTGGTGATTCTTTCCGGCCATCTGATCTTCAGTATAGAGGGAAGACAGTTGTTAATAAAAGTCTGCAACCTTTTGGAAATATTCTTTGTGACCCGCCTAGTTTCTGATCCGTATAGAAGAACTGACTTTACGTTTGTATTGAAAATCCGAATTTTGTTGGTGATGCTGAATGACGAAGATTTCCAGATTGATTTCAGGTTGATGAATGTGTTTCTCGCCTTCCCGATTCTCGATCGATTTGACATCCTCGTCCGTTCCGACTTCCTGTAGTTGAGACAATGCTCCCTAGATAAGTGAGTGAATGAAGTCACCTCTTTCAAATCCCTCCCGTTGATGGCGATTGATGTTGGATGTTGTTGCTGTTGTTGGTTGGTTATTTTCATAACCTCCGTCTTGTCTATGTTTACCTGGAGTCCTGTCTACGCTGGCTGCTTTTTCGACCAGTTTGTCGGTTTTCGCTTGTAAGTCTTCGACTTTGTGTGACATCAAACATAAATCATAAACGCGCGAAATCCAGGTCTTCTAGGTTCTTCACGTCGGTTGGTCCAGGATATCCCTACCTTCTCGTTTCCCACTGTCTGACGCATAATCCAGTCCACCACAATTAGGAATATCATTGGTGATAATAAGCCAGCACCCTTGTCTGACTCCTGTGTCTACTCCTAAGGCCTTGCTGAGTTTTCCATTGTGGATCACTTGACATGTGCCATTGTCGTACAGCTGTTGAATAAGGTTGATGAATATTTGGGGTACGCCATAGTACTCGAGTAATTTCCAAATAACTTCGCGTTCAACGATGTCGAAGGCCTTCTCAAAATCTATAAAGTTGAGGTAGAGGTTTGATCGCCATTCCATGCTTTGTTCGATGATGATGCGTAGAGTTGCAATTTGGTCAGTACATGATTTGCCTTTCCTGAATCCAGCTTGTTCTGGTCAGAGTTCTGTCTCCAGTGCGTCCTTTAATCTCTCCAGGATGATGCGACTCAGGATTTTACTTGGCGTCGATAGGAGCATGATTCCCCGCCAGTTCTTGCAGAGTCCTAAGTCTCCCTTCTTTGGTAGTTTCACGAGGTGACCTTTCCCCCAGTCAGTAGGCACCTTTCCCTCCTTCCAGACCTTTTGCAATAATGGAGTCAGTATGTCTGCTGTAGTCTCTGGGTCCGCTTTCAGTGCTTCAGGGGGTATTCCATCTGGTCCAGCTGCTTTTGCAGCTTTCAGAAGCTTGATTGCGTTCAAGACTTCAGCTCTCGTTGGAGGATTGGTGTTAACTTGCAGTTGTGTGCGTGCTGTTGTTGGTCTTTCTGGACGGGTTGCAGGTGGTGGTCTGTCTGTCTGGATTCAACATACAACTTCGCACCGAAGTGCAGCATCTTCGAGTTGCCACGTTCCAAATACCACACAAAGGTAGAAAAGAAGATGAGTGAAGAGAATCAATAGAGTTTGACAAGTATAAGAGTGAAACAGAATGGGTAATGGTAGAAAGGAATATGAAAGATTACAGAGACTGAATACATCAGCGCTGACCATTGACAACGATTTTGAGCCATTTCACCTATTGTCTCCAGCCATTGATTCCTAGAGTCCCGAGGCGAGGGCCCCAACCCGGGAGTCTTCATCTCCCTACCTGATCGACTCAGTTTAACTGTCAAGGACTTCATGGATTGATGAGGCCATGTTTTTGTTTGGCCACACTTACCCTTTTCCAACCTGCACCTATATCAGCTAGTAATGCCCGTCGTCGGGGGAGGCGATGGTTAGGCATGCGCACCACGTGACCTAGCCATCTTAGTCTATGTAACTTTATAACCTCGTCGATTGATTTTCCCTCTTTGCCTGTCCAACACTCTACGCCTAACGTTAACATTACTTACCTTGTTAAACCACCTAACGTGAGACAGGGATCGCAGACATCTATGATCGAAAGCAGTCAACCTTTTCATGTCTTCAACTCGTATTGGTCATGTTTCAGAGCCATAGAGAAGGACGGAGCGAACTTCTGAGCAGTACACACGTCCGTGCTGGTCGGTTCAAGAGTCCTTTGAAGTGATCCGCCCATTGTTTAATCTGTTTTTCTTCCTTGGTAATGGGCTTCCCTTGGCTGTCTTTTATAGGTTTCGCTTGTGTTGATCTCTTCCCGGATAGAGATTTGGTTATCTGATATAGTGTCCTCAGGTCCCTTTTGCCTGCTGCCTTCTCAGCTTCAGTGGCCAGGTTGTCGTAGAATCGTCTTTTGTCCTTCCTAGCACTCTTCTTCACTTCTTTGTCCAGTGCTGTGTAAGTTGAGCTCATCGTCTCCTTCTCCTGTCCGTCCTTGCATTGAATCATTTTCTCTTTCACCATTCTCCTCTCTTCTATTAATTTCCAAGTGTCCGTTGAGAGCCATTCCTTGTCTTGTCTCTTCTTTCTTCCTAGAACCGTTGAACACGTTTCGTTGAGAATCGCCTTCAGAGACTTCCAATGTTCTTCCACGCATGATTCTTCAGTGATGTCGCGTAGTGTTTCCTGCTTTGCTCTGACAGTTGCAGTGAAGGGTCTTTTGTGGTTGTGTCCTTCAGTAATTGAGTGTTGAACTTGCATTGTGGCCTATCCCCAGCTATCCTCGAGGCTTTTAGTTTCACCTTGAAAGTCCCTTGTACTAGATAGTGGTCTGAACCCACATCTGCTCCTCTCCTTGACCTTGTGTCCAGTAGGCTCCGTCTCCACTTTCTTGAAATTGAGATGAAGTCTATTTGATTCTTGGTGTTTCCATCTGGTGAAATCCATGTCGTCTTGTGTATATCCTTGTGTTTGAACACACTACCGCCAATCACCAAATCATTGAAGGCGCAGAAGTCTGAGAAGAGTTCACCATTGTCGTTCATTTCGCCGAGGGCCTCACGACCCATGGTGAGTTCTCTTCCTGTGTTGTCTCCTCCCAGCTTCGCATTCATGTCGCCCATCAGGATTTTGATATCGCCATTTGGGACGTTGTCCATTATTGCTTGTAGTTGTCTGTAGAACGCCTCCTTCTTCTCTTGTTCTGAGACGTTTGTAGGCGCATAGCATTGAATGACTGTAACTTTCCTTCCTTTTGAGTTGAACCTGGCTGTCATTATCCTGGAGGAGATTGGTTCCCACTGCATGAGAGCTTTGGCTGCTGTTGGTGACATCATGATGGCCACTCCCTCGGTGTGCTCATGGTTGTCCTCTAGGTGGCCGGAAAGATTACTGTCTCTCCAGTAGGTAGTTGGCACCTTCCAGTTCCGTTCCATCTGCTTCGCAGATTCCCAACACTTCTATTCTGTACCTTCTCATTTCAGCGGCTATCTGGGCAGCCTTTCCAGTTTCGTACATTGTACGAACATTCCAGGTACCCATCCTTACTTTTGCTTTCATCGAAAGAAGGCACATCGGCTGACTGGCTTCCCGAAGGCTTTCACCAGCCTGCGTCATTTCACTTCCCCGATTCCAGCGAAAAGTAAGGCTATTGCTTATGTTTTTAGAATTTTTAATATATTTATTCGTTGAAGTTTCTGTAGCGATTTGGTTGTTTTACAGGGGTGGAGTTGCTAGCACCACGCCCCAACCCTCCCTCTTTACCCGGGCTTGGGACCGGCGAGAAAACTAGTAAGCTAGTAGCCTAGCAAGCTAGTATCTGGCGAGGTTATGTAATAAATACTGTCTAGAATAAAGGAAGGAAGGAAGGCTTCGTGTGTTTTTGAAAGTGTTTGGGTGGTTATTACTTCTCGATTGTCCATACCGTGGAAGTTGGTTGATTCTTTGGGTACCTGAAACAGAAAGGGGGTTAAAGTTGCGTGACCTCAGACCCCAGGGGCCAAATTCTTGAGGCCAGTCACACACGGAGTGTTTGAGCTGGTTTCTGGGATTGGTTCCATATTAGTAAACTTACCGCCGGTTACGGACCACCGTAGGGTAAGTCAGGATGTACAAATTTTAAAGTC